CGGTTGGTTGTCAGGGGGAAATTTTGAAAGTTAATAAAAACATTAAAAAAAATCTATTTAAGTATTATGTGGAAGGGCAGACTAAACATTTGAGTGGTTGAAGAATAATTTACCTAGATTACACAAACAAAAATGTTGTTTTTTTTCAGTTATGCGTTTTTAAGATATGGACTTTTTGTATAAATCCAAGGAGAAGTTAGTGAATAACATTTGTCCCACTTTTTTTTTATACATTTCATAAATAAAATAATTAATATGCCTAAATTTTTCACTAAAAAATTAGTGAACGAAAGTAAAACAAAAACAACTAAGAAATACACTTCCAGTTTAAACATTTGAAATAGCACGAAGCTTTTCTTATTTTATTCATACACACCTACTCTGTTGTTATGACACATTAGAAAGGTATTTCACCTGACCCATATATTTCCTGTTTTGGTACTGTGAATGTGTAATGTTATTATATCAAAATGTAGCCTAAATATATAAAATAATAATGGATTTGCAGCGAGACTGATGTATCAATATTTTTGCTTTATACGTATTCAGGACAGAACAATCAACTGAAACACGCTTGAACGTAAAAAGGTGAACGTAAAAAGGTGTAACCGATTTTCTCTTTTGATAAGATGAATACCCATTTTGGTTATTTTACCCCAAAAACTACATGAAATGTAATTTACTGCTTGAAAAAGATCAATCAGTATAATTCGACAATTAGTAGAAAACAGTTGGAATATCACAAATCATCACTAAAAGAATTCCAAAACGGATGAGAGGACTTTGTGTTTCTAGCTCAGATTTTGAATTAAAAATTATAGGAAACCAACTAACGAATAATTAATTTATATTTTTTTCTACCTCTGCTGAGTCAAACAAAGTTTTACGAGGGGAGTCTTTTCTTCTATGGGATATCCATCCTATTTGCAGGGTCGCCATATTAAAAATATATGCGTTTATTTTTAAATATAATTTACCTCGTTAATATAGTTATAAATGTTAAATTAAATTCATTTAGTGTATTTTGACATTTTGACACGGTCCCTCTATTTTTTTAGTCAGTGTAGGTATCGGTGTCGGTATAAGTGTCCGTGTAGATGACTTTCCGAAAATGTCTAATAGTGTTCACTACAAGGTGTTTCAAGACATATTAAAAAACACATTTCGGGAAATTTCAATAGTGAAAAAAATATAAAGCATCTATTTTGAATATAAAAAAAAAAACAATTTAAATACTCCTTTTCTTGAAGCTAAGAATTTTGATCCCATATGGCAATTTCTTACATATAAAGAACGTTTACTTGGAATTAAATCAGGACCATAAATAGCCTCGAGCGGACCGAGGAGGAAAAAATTTCAGATTGTTAGCTTAATTCCAGGAAGTGCCAACTAGGCATGCCCAGTCAATATTGTGTAATTCTTGCAATGTTCTGGCATACATATAGAATGGTAATTTAAAAAGATTTCTGCAATCTTGTGGCAAACGTTCTGTATTATCTTAACTTTCTTGCAATCTTACTACAAACATCGATGTTTCTGCAAACTTGCCGCAAGCTTGCAGCAATGATTGAAGGATGTTTGCAGCAAGCGGCAAACATGTGCAAACACTATTTTCTGTTTTCCTGCAAACTTTTTGTTTGCCGCAAACTTGCAGTTCTATAAGGGAATCCTTGAACCAATTGCATGTATGTATCATCATAAACTTAGTTCTGTGCACGGTTTTATTTTATGCATCCATATAGAATAATCGTCAAAAAATATTTCACTCGGTCTGTTATGATGTGAAAATATGACAGCTAATCAATTGTCATATAACATGTCTAAGTAAACAATCAACAAAGAAGCCTGGATATTGAGGTAAGCATGTGTATAACCATGGAAGTAATATTACTTCCATGGTATAACATAGTTTATTTCGATGACGGAGCGATGCGTATTGCGATCACCGGGATTTTACGAGAAAGGAGACGCTGAGTTCACTGCATACGGAAAACATGTCGCCGAATTATTGTCTGGGATTCCAATAATTAAAAAAAAAAAAGTAAATTTCTTCTAAATTTGGACAAATAAAAAATTCTTGAGAAAAAAGTATATGTACATAATTATGATAAGGTAATTAAGTTTTATAATAAAACTAGCCATTTAAAATTAGTTATAAAAACAGATGCATCATTTTTTTTTAATTTGAAGTTTCATATGACTTTAAGCGTGTCCTGTCGTCGGGTTTCTAATCCAGACACGACTATCCCTCAGTGTATGTTCGAATATGAATATTTGTAAGGGGCGGGTCCAGGTGATGGCGTAATGGGCGTACGCCCCCCCCCCCCCCCTTTAAAAAAAAAAAAACAAAAACAAAAACTATCGTAATCTGCTAATACTGTATTGAATATGGCAATTTATCATATTCATTAATTAAACATATACTCTGAAAATTGTTCTGATGAATCCACTCTAGTCTAACCATTGATTGAAAATGAGAGTCCGTCGGTATTTCTGTGTTCATTTTAGGTTTTGCGTTAAGGTACATTTATACTAGTAACATGTATATTTGGTATAGCATTTTACTTCCCATCTGGATAGCCTTTGGTAGTATCATAATGTTTCAATATCCATTAGTGAGTAACTAAGTGACATTGACCTATATATTGCCATCAAGTTCAAGCACCATATTTATTTATGTACCATATACCACCTATCGGAACTAGACAGTGACATGATTGCTTTAATTTAGTATTGTAGTACAATGACGTCAATTTTTCATATTCAATCATGTATTCCACATTAAAGCCTACAATATTTAGAACGAAAGAACTTTATACTTCAGTGTTTGAATCTAAAATAGAGAGATATTTATCAGTCTGGCTACTTCATAATTTGATGCTAAATTGTTGAAATCCAGGAGCTTCTGAGCTTCCCCATGGACCCTCTACCAGGGCAACCGTAATTTCGCCTCCCGTTCATAAAATCCTGGCCTAGGACTATTGAAATGTTAAGTAACGCCTTATACCCTAGAATTCTGTGGAATTTCTCGTTATTGGTCTACTGCTGTTAAGATCCATACAATCATTTTAATATACCATAGACAATTAATGGAGAGAATTCGGCATAAAAAATGTCAAACCCTGACACTCTATATATAACTATAAAATATACATGCTTCAAGTCAGGAACCGTTACATTAGTGCATTTCACAAATATTTTATGTTTTTTTAGCAAAAATAAGGTCCAAAAAATTTTCGCCTAGCTCCGCTCGGCAAAAGATTTGATTCTACGCCCCCTCTTTCAAATATTCTAGAAACGCCCCTGTACTTATTCTTATAATGCACTTGAATGATAACTTTAAACTCACTGATGACAAATGCTCAGTATATATAAGATAACTTGTTTAACCAGTGGAACATATTTCACAGACAAGGAACTTATTTCACCAGGTGATGAACAAATCTCACAAACCCAGAACTTATTTCACCAGGTAAGGAACAAAGTTCACCAACCCGGTACTTATTTCACTAGGTAAAGTGTGGAACTTATTTTACAGAGATGGAACAAATTATATAGAAATCATCTGTGAAAAAAGTTCTCCCAGGACATATTTCATGTGATTGGAACTTTTTTCACAGGAACAAATTTTGGCTCACATATACGTCTACAACACCTATATAGTCGTTGTACGTCACAATCTCTTTAAAATGGTCCAAAATTTACTTTTAGTGCCCTACCCACTTATCTCATTTTGTCAATTTCACAATTTCAGTTTTTTAACCGTAGCTTCAGATTTTCGAAAATAAACCACTCTGGAGATTTTCTTAAACGATGCGCCAATGGCTTTTCTACAACACATATATTGTCGTTGACCGTCACAATCTCTTGAAATTGGTCCAAAATTAACTTAAATTGACCTTCCCCCCTAATCTCATTTTGTCAATTTCACAATTTCAGTTTTTGTACCGTAGCTTCAGATTTTCGAACATAAACCACTCTGAAGATTTTCTTAAACGTTGCTCAAATGTCTCCTCTTCATCACCTAGGCAGTCGTTGCCCGTCACAATATCTATAAATGGGTTAACAATCAACTTAAGGTATCCCCCTTTTCGTTTTTAATTACAGTTTTTTCAACCTATTCAGATTTTTTAACATAAACCATCCTGGAGTTTATCTTAATAGATACGCTAATGTCTCAGCTGCATTACCTATGCAGTCGTGTACCGTCAAAATCTCTATAAATGTGTCAAAAATCAACTTCAGGTATGCCCCCTCCCCCCTTTTCGTTTTTACAATTTCAGTTTTTTAAACTTAACTTCAGATTTTTAAACTTAAACCATTCTGGAGTTTGTCTTATTAGATACGCTAATGTCTCCTCTATGTTACCTTTACAGTCGTTGCCTGTCACAATCTCTATAAATTGGTCAAAATCTTTATATATAAAATATGGTACCCCTTTTGTTTTAATTTTGTTTATTCGTTTTTGTTTAATATTTTGAATATTCTCATAATTGTCCGCTAGGTCTCTGTAATTGTTCGCTAGCTCGAAAAAAAACGTGATTATTTTATGTGAAATTGTGGTTTTTAGTTATACCTCCTAATTATTCGCTGGCTAATTGTTCGCTACAATTGTTCGCTAGTTTGAGTCAAGTTGCTTTTTAAACATACTAAATATCAACAATATTTCTTTTTAAACTTCGATGAAACATGTTGTAAACTCCCATGTTTCGACTCACATATTTACATGCCTATACACATGATATATTGTTGCTAATTAAATTATATGCACGAAGAGACGCCACTTGATTCATTTTAAAAAGACCTTGTTACACCCATGCATTGTACACGTTTGGTTTGTTAAATGGGTCAAATTGATCACAATAAACTGTTTAACACCTGTAATTAGCTTTAGACGTATTTGACATTCAGAGCAGATGATTTAAATGTCGCTCTAAAGGATGTTTATTGACAGTGAACAGGTAATACTATACAGGTAAAATACACGTATATTGGTGATATGTAAATTGGTTGAACGGAAGTCTTAGTTTTCGCAGAAGATCAATTGTAGAAGGAAAATAAGATTTAGTAACGATAAAAAGTAAGACGTATTGATGTTTTCATATTTTGCATTACACATATTACTGACATGAATATACTATTACATTAACATTTAACAATGGTTCAAGCATGACCTAGCTTGTAGATAGGATAATTAACCGCTAGTGGCATTGAGTGCAAAACAGGTAAGAAGTTCATAGGTAACAAATAAAACAGATCACAACAAACGTTCAAGAATCGTTAGTATAATACGGCCGATAAATGTAGCTTTTGAGAACTGAGAAGGTATTTTTACCGCGCGTACATGGTGAATGTCACGTGATAATTTTTATTAAAAACAAACTAGCACGTGTTTTATTAAGTTGTTCCTGTAAGGCGTTTATAGAAGATTATCTTAAAATTTAATGAAAAATTTAATGATTTTTCGATTGATTCAACAAACAAATGGACTTTCCCGCGGTTATTCAAATATTTCTCACGAATAACGTCAGTCAGGGGTACTTAACTTGAAGTAAAAAAAAAATATACTTATATAAGTTAATTATAATGTTTGAATAGTTTCCCCTTAATTTTCTCAAAATTCACTTGTATTTATAAGTGAATTATTTTTACAATCCCACAAACATTCTCAAGTTTTGAGATGTAAAAACATGCTTTAAATGATTTTTCCCAGGTTAGGTCATAATTTTTATTAGAGTTCAATGTTTCATCTCATTTATTCAACAAAGAAACTGATTGCGCAAAGATCTTAAGTATTTGTGCAAGACCTTCAAAAATTGCTTCTTGGGATGTTGGGGGGCTTGTAAATCAGCAGTGTTCTGAAGATAACAGACAAATGGGATTTTCATTGTCCATGAAATTACACTTAAATGATTAGTAAAGACATCTGCAAAGGGCAGACAATTCAAAATTCTATTAGAGCAAAGAAATCTTAAGAATTCAAGAAAAGAAGAGAGGATGACTTTTTCACTTAATATATAATTAAGTTAAAAAAATCTGAATGTCTAAGGGACATAACTAAGCCAATTTTTTGTTTACCTATACAAGTAAATAAAATTCACTTGTATAAGTATCCTACAAATTAACTTATATAAGTATATTAATATTACTTCTTCAAGTAAATAAAAATTACTTGTACAAGTAGTACCCCTGACTGGATGTGCACCATACAAATCAGGAGAAACTTTCAGAAAAGAATAATGAAGTCTAGTATCTGGGTTCCTGTTTCGAGGTATGGCCGTAAGAAAAGAAGACAGGGCCCGAGGCAATGAAAAATGTACACACATGTACATTACATTCTTTTCTTTGACTTCACTTGGCCTGAAGGCCATATGAGCTACTGCCAAAAACTTTTTAAAAGAATTTCCCATATGAACTAACTTTTAGTCCATTTCTTTCAAACTTTGGGTTAATGCTCCTATTGTCCTAAGAATATCTTCTTTAAAGTATTCGGTGTTCCCCTTTCAGTCAACAAACATGGCCGCCATGGCTAAAAATAGAACATGAGGGTGAAATGCATTAAATGTCTTATACATGTATCTTATGATATATAGACATATAAATTATGATTTTTTTTTGTTTCTATCATTTAATGAAAGCTAGAGATGGGTAACGCATGTATGTCTTTAATGGTTTACTTTTATAAATTTTGACTTAGATAGAGAGTTGTCTCATTGGCACTCATACCACATCTTCTTATATCTATCTACTGTCTACTAATTATCATTTGTCCTTGACCTTATTTCGTGGTTCATTGGTCAATGCTAAATTTTGGACAGTAGTTTGGTCCTTATTCTAAGATACACTATTTTGTACCAATTTAGTAATACAGTGTATCAATTATATTTAATTTTTGTTGTATGGAATGATTGTAAGGTGTACATGTCTGTCTGGCTTTGTTTATTTGACTTTGACCTCTTAGTCAGAATAATTGCTAAAGTTAAGTTTATGTGATATTTGTATTAAAACTTTATCTTTTAGGCTTATTCAACATACACATATTTTAAAAAGTCAGTCTTGAACCTCATCCAATTACATGTTCTCCATAATAGTGTATAAGAGGTAACTTAATCAAATATGTCATAAAATTGTGAATGGAAATGGGGAATTTGTCAAAGAGACAACAACCCGACCAAAGAGCAGATAAAATGTATAATCATGTCTTATGATTTAAATGCATGAATATATATATATATATTTATATGTTGGAAGTGGTTATTCATTGAATTTATAAAGTATAACTATATCTTTTAATGTTTTTAACAGACTTGATGTTTTAATGTTTTATACGCCCGTTTACAGGAAGTATTGGTAAACCGTTGTCTGTCTGTTCGTTGTCAACATGTTGGACATTAACTAAAAAATGCTTGAACCAGAATTTGCATAAAACTTTGGTGAATCGTTTATATCTATTGATATCAGAGCTCCCTTTTGTTTTTTATAAATTTTAGATTTTACGTTTCCGAGTTATGGGGTTTTATTCATTAAAATAAGGGGGATTTTTCAGTTTTGGGACAATAACTCAAGAATGCTTTCACCAACTTGCAAGAAATTTTGGTGAATTGTTTATATCTATTGACATGAGTTCCTTTTCAATTTTTTATAAATTTTTCGATTTTACGTTTCCGAGTTACAGGGTTTTATTCATAAAAAAGGGGGATTTTTCCAGTTTTCAGACAAAACAACTCAAAAATGCTTTCAGCAGTTCTCATGAATCTTTGGTGAATTGTTTCTATCTATTGATTTAACTCCCTTTAGAATTTTATAAATTTTAGATAATACTTTTCCGAGTTATGGGGTTTTATTCATTAAAAAAGGGGGGATTTTCCAGTTTTCCGACAAAAACTCAAAATGCTATCAGCAATTCTCACAAAACTTTGGTGAATTGTTTATATCTATTGATGTAAGCTCCCTTCTGATTTTCATAAATTTCTAATATGACAGTGAGAAGTAATTGAAGTTTATTCTTTGAAATTGTGACGGGCATATCATGCGCTCATGGCGCAGCTGTTTATTTTAGTTATTTAAGAGGCTCAAAAATAATTGTAACCAAAATATATATGAGTTTCTAAAAAAAATTTTAAAAATATCAAATAAAACATATCTGCCTGGGTACACATAATTAATACAATGTAATGCTGTAAATTCAGAAATTATTGCGTGCATTTATTAAATAAATGTGATTTTTAAAAGAATGTACAAAACTGTGATTAATTACTGCGATTCCTTGAAAATCTGCATATTACAGACACAAGCATCAGATATCAGAATGCAAGTAATCTTATTATTGCAATACTCAACAAGTGGCATTATTTGCATTAATAAAAACCTTGTAATTACATGAATAATTTCTGAATTTACACGTTACAGTAAAAATAGTAAGTTTTTTATTATTATTATTATTTTTATTTTATTTTCATTATTTATGCCATGATAACATTCTCATTTCTCCTAGAAAATGATGGCAGGTATTTGCCATGGTAACAGAGCTATGGAATGAAATCTGCAGACAAAGTCAAAAGACATTTTTAAGAGTCGAAGTTCTTGAAGAAAAAGATGGAATCATGGACAAACTCAAGTATGTCAGCTAACGATATAAAAAATGATAAAATTGATCTTGATTAAAAACCCTCCTGTCAATTGTTTTGCACATTCTCTATTCTGTAAAACCCATGAAGACCATTATCAATTGTAAGTATTTTGTTTTTCCCATGAAACAGGTAATTCAGCTTCCAGTTAGTTAGAAGAAGCAGGAAGAAAAATCTAGGAGGATGATAAAAATTCAGAAGTCCACTGTATAGAAAACAGAAGTCCAAAATCAAATACTGTCATGTGACTGTAGTGATTTAACCATTGGCCTGTTAGTTGGTTTATATCAGGCTGTTTTTTAAGCTCACCGGGGCCCGAAGGGCCCCATGTGAGCTTATGCCATCACTTGGCATGTATCGTCATCCGTCGTCTGTCATCGTCGTCTTTGTCTGTCGTCTGTTGTCGTCTGTCATCGTCTGTCGTCGTAAACTATTTCAAAAATCTTCTCCTCTGAAACAACTGGGCCAAATACCTTCAAACTTTAACTAAATGTTCCTTAGGGTATCTAGTTTATAAATTGTATCAGAAGTTTTGATCCATTGACAAACATGGCCGCCATGGTTAAAAATAGAACATAGGGGTCAAATGCAGTTTTTTGCTTATATTTCAAAAACTAAAGCTTTTAGAGCAAATCTGACATGGGTTAAAATTGTTCAATTGGTCACGATCTATCAGCCCTGAAATTTTCAGACGAATCAAACAACTCATTGTTGGGTTGCTGTCACTAAATTGGTAGTTTTAAGGAAATTTTGCATTTTTTTTGTTATTATCTTGAATATTATTATAGATAGATATAAACTGTAAACAGCAATAATATTCAGCAAATTAAGATCTACAAAAAAGTTTATATGACCAACATTGTCAATTGACCCCTTAAGGAGTTATTGCCTTTTAAAGACAATTTTACGCAATGTGTTCAAGTTTGCTAACATTTAAAAATCTTCTCCTCTGAAACTACTGGGCCAAATACCTTCAAACTTCATCTTAATGTTCCTTAGGATATGTAATTTATAAATTGTATCCGAAGTTTTAATCCATCGACAAACATGGCCGCCATGGCTAAAAATAGAACATAGGGGTCAAATGCTATTTTTTGCTTATATCTCCAAAACTAAAGCTCTTAGAGCAAATCTGACATGGATAAAATTGTTCAATTGGTCAAGAACTATCAGCCCTGAAATTTTCAGACAAATCGAACAACCCATTGTTGGGTTGCTGCCACTAAATTGATAGCTTTGAGAAAATTTTGCAGTTTTTTGTTATTATCTTGAATATTATTATAGATAGATATAAACTGTAAACAGCAATAATGTTCAGCAAAGTAAGATCTACAGAAAAGTTAAATGACCAAATTTGTCAATTGACCCCTTAAGGAGTTATTGCCTTTTAAAGACAATTTTACGCAATGTGTTCATCAAGTTTGCTAACATTTAAAAATCTTCTCTTCTGAAACTATTGTGCCTAATACTTCTTCACTTTGAATGAATGTTCCTTTAGGAATCTAATTTAAGAATTGTATCCGAAATGTTGATCCATCAACAAACATGGCCGCCATGGCTAAAAATAGAACATAGGGGTGAAATGCAGTTTTTGGCTTATATCTCAGAAACTAAAGCATTTAGAGCAAATCTGACATGGGGTAAAAATGTTCAAAAGGTCAAGATCTATCAGCCGTGCAATTTTCAGACACACTGAACAACCCATTGTTGGGTTGCTGCCACTAAATTGGTTGTTTTAAGGAAATTTTGCAGTTTTTGGTTATTATCTTGAATATTATTGAAGATAAAGATAAACTGTAAACAGCAAAAATGTTCAGCAAAGTAAGATCTACAAAAAAGTTTTTATGACCAAAATTGTCAATTGACCCCTTAAGGAGTTATTGCCCTTTAAGGACAATTTTACACAAGTTGTTTTATGTTTTTTAACTTTAAAAATCTTCTCAAATGAATCTAGTATAAATTTTGTATTTCATTTCCTTGTACCTCAAGAAACATATACACTATGGCTAAAATGAAACATATGGGTAAAAAGCAAAAATAATCATTGATGAAAGATTTAAGCAAAAAAAATAACGGGTGAGCGATTCAGACTCTTGAGAGCCTCTTGTTTCTCTTTTGAATTATTTTACATTTTGTTATTTGATGCAAGTCAGGGCCTTTTATAGCTTGCTTCGCATTATCAGTTTATTTTCGGCTTAAGAGTTTGAATGTCCCTTGGGAACCTTTTGCCTCTCTTTTGCAGTAATTGTTGAAGTCCATATAATTGTTAAAATTTACATTGTTTGGTCTCTGATGGAAATTTCTCTCATTGGCAATCATTATCCACATCTTCTTATTTAATAATGGTGACCTGGAGCATTGTTTTTGTAGTCTCAGTCCCTCAACATTTTATGCCCTTCAGCTAGGTGGCATTAAGATTTACCTGTGTTTGGCTGTACATCTGTCAGTCGGTCATGAATTTGGTTTCTGTTTTTTGGTTTTCCTCAACCAAGGTTATGAAACTTATCATGCTTTTAATACAAAATATAAAAATGAGAAGATGCTTATCACCACCAAGCATAGATCTTGGATTTTGGATGGCAGCAGTTTCTCCAATTACAAGTTGTTTTTCTCATTTTATATTTTATATTTCAGATTCCCGTCCATTCATTTGTGATGCATGTGGACAAGGCTTTAAACATAATCACCACATGAAAGAACACATGAGAATTCATACGGGAGAGAAGCCATTCCAGTGCAAACACTGTTTCAAACGCTTCAGTCACTCCGGTTCATTCAGTCAACACAAAAATAATACTTGTATAAAGTCAAGAACAAATGGTGAGTCTGCTTCACAATCTTCAACATGTTCACATAAAGAGCCCGGTAGCAACTAACAATAGCCACTGGATTAAACTGGGGCTTCTGGCTTGGGACAGGCACATATAGAATGGTATAGGATTATTTGCTGTGTAATTTGAATAAGGAGATGTGTAGACAAATTTAACATGCTTGCGAGCATTAAACCATCTCCTTAACTGGCATGACTAGGACAATGTTATTACTATTCATTTGAAAATTTAACTGTCTTGAGTGGATAAATATTGTATCACGCTCGATGGAGTGGTAGAATCTATATTACACTATTTCAATGAGTACTGTAAATTCAGAAATTATTATGTGCATTTATGATTGCAATTTTGTCATTTTACACTAATATTCGATTTTAATTTTTGCGATATTGAGAAAAATCCTGTTTAATTCATATTAAATATTTCAAAATGCGAGTTTGAATTATTGCGATTATAACCCTGTCGCATTTTTCGCAATAATAAAAATTTTCGCAATAATTTCTGAATTTACAGTAAATAATTTTCTCTCAATTTTTATGGCAATTTAACCCTTTCTGTACACATTTTTAAAAAATATTAAATCAACATGTGGTTACCAATGATCATTGATGATTGGCTAAGTTAAAAGGTAACAACCTTTATCAGCTCTCTGGATGAATCAAAATGGGCTATTTAAACAGGTGTTAGAGAGATTGATCTCTTTACATTTGTATGCTGTGGAAATTTCAGAATCATGAGAATGTCGAAGGCGCTCAAAGGTTATTTTTGATTATCAAAAATGAAAATTTATTTGATAGTCATTAGAGAAACAGAATCTTACATAGTTAATTACTTGTTTAAGATTGGATCATATAATTATCTGGATTCAATAAATTCATCAATCCACTTGTGCCAATGTAAGAATCTATATAAATATTGCACCAGTAAGTAAATAATTAATGTAACATGTTTAAGTACAATTGCATATTGTTTATTATGATTTGCAAGTTTTTGCTTAATTACAGAATCTGAAGGAGAGAAAGTTCCCCCCATCACTGCAAGGGATTTGAAGAAGATTTACCAGTCCGGACTTATGAATCCTTTTACTCCAAATGGACTATTTAACAAAGTTCAGTTTGAAGTTAGACTCCATTTTGATCGGCACTATGAAGTTACAGCAGATATGTCTGAAATGACAAAGTCTTCATTTGAAATCATCAATGATTCAAAGGAAAATTTGCAGTTTGTACGAAGAACGGAAAATGAAACAGAATCTGAGGAATATCAGATAGTTATCTCTGAGCTTCCTCAATCACCATACTGTCCTCTTAAATCATTTAAAAAGTATATAGAGGCACTTGATCCAACCAATGACTCTCTATGGCAAGTTCCCAGGAATTCGGTAAAGATGGGCGACCTAGTCTGGTACGATGGGACAGCTGACATTGATTCTTTATTGACTTTTATGACAGGCCTTAGCCATAAATGTAAATTATCAAAAGTCTATTCTAACCGCTCTATAACAGAAACTAATGTGGCAAGTGTTATTGATACAATTACCAAATATCACTCTACTCCACCGTTAATGACACGTCTCTCTGTACCGGCAGTACCGAAGCATGACATGACGGCTTTAAAGAAAGAATCATCTGAATGCAAAAAAGTATGTATAAGATTTTATACTCAAATAAGATTCAAAATTTAACATGCAATTGGGTTTTTTTTTTAGAACAGATTAATTGCATTATAAATGTGCCATTGAACACTGACTTGAAAGAATACAACAACTTATCTTCAAATAATCAAAATTATCTTATTACATGTAGAATATTAGTAAAAACAGAAGCTTTAGTTGTGGATCTAAAGCATTCAAGGGTTAGGTTTTTTGCATCAACAGTAAATTTAGTTATTTTAGTACACAGCTGAGAGAGAAATTTTCCTTGTAACTTAAAGAAAAAAACAAGCAAAAGTTTCTCTTATAGAATTAAGATCATTTAAAAGGATCCCAATCATTTTATGGTTGGATACATTTGTACCCATCAAACCTGCCATCAAATATAACTGAATATATATATGTGGCTGATTGGTCTAAGTAGTTCAACTATTGTATCACTAGACTGTCAACACATGAGGTTGTGAATTCCCCCACATGGCAGATGGGTTCAACACCAATCTTTATTGACTACAGACAAAATTTCACATAACATATTACATTGCAAAATGGTTAATAACAATCTTTACATGGTTTGAGGTTAAATGGTTTCAAGCTTTAGTAACCATGTAACCTCAAATTTTCAAAATATTTTATAGAAACATCAAATAAAGAAGAATGGTACTTTGATACACCCAAGATATATATGTTTATGACTCAGATTTTTTTTACAGCGATGAAATGTAGGATTAATTTCCTACAACTGTCATGACTGTCAAATTCAAGGGAATATTATTTTTCTACCTTTGTTTGTATGCTACTGCATTTGACGTTCTATGAATTGGTAGTTAACTAAACCTGTAGTGGTACTTTTAATTGTTGATATGTACAAAATGTATGCAGTTGTGATTGATTATTGAATTAATGATTTCTAGAACTTATCAGTACATTGTATTTTTTTTTTTTAAAGAGAGTAAAAATCCATACTGAAAAGTCACAAGAAACAGAATCTAATAACAGTTCAGTTTCAAATATTAGAATTACACATGTGAAGCAGGTATCGGAAGGAACATACAATGGGACAGACATGAGTTCTGAACTTGTGTGTCCTGAAATTACACCTGTAAAACTAGAGGTTGCTGGAGCATGGAACAGCACAGTCTCAAGTCCTAAAATTACACATGTAACACCTGAGCTGGCAGGAACATTGAACAGCTCAGTTACATATCCTGAAATTACACATGTAAGCCCAGATCTGGCAAGGACTTTAAACAGTTCAACTGCTAGAGGTCCTCAAATTATCCCCGTAAAACTAGAGGTTGCTGAAACATGGAACAACTCGGTTACACATCATCAAATTACAAATGTAAGACCAGATGTGGCTGGAACAGTGAACAACACATTTACAAGTCCTGAAATTACATTTGAAAGGCCAGATTGGGCAGGGACTTTGAACAGTTCAACTGCTAGAGGTCCTGAAATTATTCCCGTAAAACTAGAAGTTGCTGAAACATGGAACAACTCAGTTACACAATCTGAAATTACTCATGCAAGACCAGAGTTGGCAGGAATATGGAACAGCACAGTTACACATCCTGAAATTACACATGTAAGCCCAGAACTGGCAAGACATTGGAACAGAATAGGTTTTAGTCCTGAAGTTACACATGTACAACAACATGAACCAGAGCTAACAGGGATTTTTAATAGCTCAGTTAGAAGTCCTGAAATCATAAATGCAAGACCAGAGCTGACAAAAGCAAGGAACATTGCAGTTTCCAGTCCGGAAATTATGTATGTACCATCAATGCTAGCTGGAGATGCACAAATTGTAGATAGGTTTGTTTTTGAGATAGCTTCTACAGTTTCTACACAAAGAAAAAGATTTAGAACCAGTAGCTTTCAAGGTTGTATTCATTCAATTTAATTTTTTTTAAATTTTGTGGAAAAGCACTTACAAAGGAAAACTAACATTCAGTTTTTCCACTGAAAATAAAAAGAATAAATGTATTTAAACATGAGGCAACAAACATAAAAAAGTCCGCAAATCTAAAACAAGTAGAAAATAGATATCTAGATGACACTATAGGTAGACTTAACCGTCGATAATTTCGTTAAATTCAAAACTTCCTGTTTCAAATTTCGGTTTTCGTATTTCTCCGAGTAATCTAACCAGAATGATTCAGATGACATATTCTGCTGCTGCTCTATGATGACAACATCATCTACTGGTAATAGAGATTAATTACGAGAAGGGCATGAAAAATTCAGATTAAGAGTCATATGCTGTGTCCAAGAATGCAAATCGCGGTATGTCACAAATTTTTGTGATAAGAAAACCGTTGATTTTTTTTATTTATGTAATGACTTTATGTCAGGAAATTTGGACTGTGAATGACATCCAAAGCGTCAGAATCGTGGAACACATTGGTACAAAAAACATGACGATTAAAGAAATTGATGCAAGCACGAACTTGTAAGATTTATGACTGTATATTGAGTTCAAAATGTCGACAAACATACACGTTTAATTATAGTGTGGGTTTGTGGTCTTGTGGTTAAGATCGATGGCAACAGTGCTGAAGGTCCTGGGTTCAATTCTGACTCGGGGCGCTGGATATTTCAGTACATCACAGGGGTGATTTTCACCCTCCCACACACTTCTCTGGTACCCAGTCTGGAGTTTAAACTAGAATGAGTACTTTGGGGGCCTCGGTTGGTCAAAGTTGTTCCCTACTTTGACCTGGAGATCAATCTTCTGATATCTCTCCGGTTTGTCTGTTTCTGCCGAGTGGCCCAGTGGTTTTCTCCGAATACTTCGGCTTCCTCCACCATAATAACAAACTTCCCAGTGTCCTAGAACTCCCTTGTGTTTTTTTTTTTTTTTTTATCTTTTATTTGTTTTCAATAGTCAGGATTTTACAATACCCCTACAATCACCACCTGACTATGGGTTTTGGGGCAAACATTGAAAGTTATATACAAGACTATCCATTTTTTTTTAATTTATATTCATTATCATAATTCAAGAATATAGTTATTAAAGAAAAAAAAAAAAAAATAAATAAATAAATAAATATAGCTGCTCACACTCACACTTTCTCTCACTACTTACACACAGTCATTGCGATCTTACCATTAGTATGCATGTATGTCTATATATAAAGTAAAAATCAAGTATCAACTGCTCATTATAGTATAATTTAAAGTATAAACGATAATAAATCATGAAAAAATTGTATGTAGTGGGGACCAGAATCTTTCATAAGATGCTGCTCTATTATTTTTGTTTGCAATATAAAATTCATTTGATTGGTATTGTTTAATTCTGGATTTAAGTCCTACAAAACTAGGAGCTATATTTCTTAACTTACATCTAAAGATGTAGTTTTTAGCTATAATAATTAACAAATTTATAAACAAACTCTTAGTAAAAAATCCCAGTAAAATTTCCATCTTACTGATGCTGAATTGTTCATCAAATAATTTGATTTTCTGTAAAAATGACAACCAAAAATTGTATGTAACATTACAATCATAAAATAAATGTTCTATTGTTTCCTCTTCCTCATTACAGAAGGTACATAGACTTGTTTCCTTTTGCTTAATTCTATATAAAAATGTATTAGTTGGTATAATTCTATGTAATATTTTATATTGAAAATTCTTTAAATATGTATTACTACAACATCTTTTCAAAAGAGAAAAATACTTCGACCATTCTGAGATTTCAGAATTTGTTACATCCTCCCATTTCAAAAATTTCTCATATGGGAGTATGCATATTTTATCTACAAGATCTCTGTATACAAATTTTAACTTCTTATTTTCCAAGATCCTTTTAGAAAATGCATCAAAAGGAACAAAATTTTCTAAGTTCAAATCACAATAATCTTTGATGTATTTTTTGATATATTTTGGAATGTTAGATAATAAACTATAGTATTTCAAAAAATTTTCCAAATTAAGTTTTTGTCTTACTTGTTGAAATGTTAATAGTGATTTACTTTGACTCCCTTGTGTTGGGTGGGGATTGAATGTCCTTGTAAAAAAATATTGTCATAGTTATACATTAGTGACACATCTCCATTAATCCTGATAGGGAGTGTACATGGATGCCACTGTACCCTCGCAGTTTTCGAGGGGTTCTTCGGAAATTGGAGGCATTTACCAGTACATACATAAATAAATATAGCAAGCCCTTAGATTTACATACCGGTATGTTTTTTGTTGACCTTCCCACCCGCCCCATTTTTAAAAAAAATCTGGATGAAAATCTACTAATTAATTTAAGTTGGCCTAAGAGACAATAATATTTGTATTTTTCTTTATATAGAATTGTGGATGGCACTCCTCATAGTGGGATGAAAGTAAATAAAGATGAATGCAGTTTGTCCACAGAATCTAAGGATAATTTACCTTTGTATAGAAAAGTTATGGAATTTGTATCATCAGATAATGTAGCAAAAGGTATGATTTATCCAGTCAGGGGAGATAACTTTGTTATTTTCATATACCTATTAACAACTTCATTAGTTTTATAATATTTATGATAACCAAAACATTTTTGATTGATTTGATTTTTGATTTTTTGTGTTTTAACACCACTCTTTAAGCAACCTCAGTGTTTAAACGGGCTAGAGATTACAGTAGTAACTACTTAGACCACTCGGCCATCGAGGCCCCTCATTTTTGATTGAAATCTTTCTGTTATCTAAATTGTGTATTGTCACCACATCCATGGTGTCATTCAAATAACCAATGAAAAGGGACAAAGTGACCTCATCTGACCATCATTATAATGACTAGACTATTAAAGTGATCAACCTTTTTAGCATACAAAGATAAACACAACAGCATGCTTCAGTCAGTAATTTTATTGAAGTAAGATTTTATTCTGTAAATAAGCATGATAATTAAAAAGAGCAAAAATTATGTTTCAATGCATATTTTTATTACCAAAAACAGTAAATTTCAACAGATCAAAATACAATCCTGAAAGTTAAAAATATGTTCATACATACCATTGAAATTTCACTCTTTGACATAGTGACTTGGTAGATCTTGGTATTTGTGCAGCAGCTTGACTGTGATGCCTTGTTATGTGAAATCTAGTCTTCCTGTTTCTTGTACTTTAAATTACATATGAAAGTATCATATTAGCAGCAGGAAATGCATCTCTCATTGTATTGAATTTCAATGCAGAAATACTAGAAGAAAAAGTTTAGTTTTGTTTCAAACTACATTATTCACTGATGTCAAATGAATGAATGAATATAAAAAAGAAGATGTGGTATGATTGCCAATGAAAAAACTCTCCACAAGAGACCAAATGACACAGAAATTAACAACTATAGGTCACCGTAAGGCCTTCAATAATGAGCAAAGCCCATACCGCACAGTCAGCTATAAAAGGCCCCGAAATGACAATGTAAAACAATTCAAACGAGAAAACTAACGGCCTAATTTATGTACAAAAAATGAACGAAAAACAAATATGTAACACATAAACAAACGACAATCACTGAATTACAGGCTCCTGACTTGGGATAGGCACATACATACAGAATGTGGCGGGGTCCCAACCCTCCCCCTAACCTGGGACAGTGGTGTAACAATACAACATAAGAACGAACTATAAAAATCAGTTGAAAGAGGCTTAACTCATCAGCTGGATAAAAATACAAATACTACAATTACAAGTGGACGTGGCCAGGTACTTGTACATCCAAACAACAAAAAGACACTAAGTACAGATCTGAGAGTACTCACAGTTACTGACAGCTAGTTCAAAGCCACTAACAACTAATAAAAAAATCATGCATCTAAGACTAAATTATCAATTCGTACACATCCAACATCCAATGGAATTAGTGTAAAGACGTCAAAAACATGACCTTGTGCAATGCCAAGATACAGGTATCGACAGATTGTAGATCCATGAATGTGTATATGTATATAACAATAATATTTAGTTTGCTTTTAATTTACTGATAACAAAATCAATATCAGTACCATTAAAAACAATATTTAATGATCTAATTACAGTGTTGAATTAGTAACCTTTTAGAATAAGTTTATTTAAAGGATCGATAAGTTTACCAGGATCGTTTCTAAATTTCCGGACACTGTAAACAATATTGCCGTAAAAATGAGGATGTACAATCCTGTTTGAAATAAGTTTTCATTGCAGCCTGAAGATTTGTGCATTTTAAGGAAAAATAGGGAAAAAAAGAAAACAATTATTGTGTCCTCTTTTTTAGGCGTTGGTGTTGATTCTTCCGATATTTGTCACCAGGTGTCTATAGAAGAGAAGAAAAATCAACCAATGAAACCATCTCAGACCTATTTCACTAAGAAACAAATAGAAATACTTGAATCACACTTGATAAATGGAAGAAATCCTGACTTTAAAATCCTGGATGTAGCTAAGGAAGCAGGAATCAGCATACAAGCTGCAGTAATTTGGTTCCAAAATGCCAAAGCTAATGCAAATAAACAACAAGGGATGAAGATATTAGGTATGCTTAACATTTCATTTATTTATCAGTTTGGCATGTTATAACTGTCATACTTAACATGTATAGTTAATAAAAGAGGGTCATTCAAACTCATAGATCAAAAACAAACTGAAATCGCCATGGCTACAAAAGAAAAAGACAAACAGACAAACAATAGTACACAAAACACAACATAGATTACTAAAGACTAAGCAACACGAACCCCATCAAAAACTGGGGGTGATCTCGGGTTCTCTGGAAGGGTAATAAAGCAAATCCTGCTCCACATGTGGCATCCGTTAACATTTCTCTATGAATGTTTTTCTGTTAACTGCATTTGCTCACAAATGGAGGATGTATTTTTAGTTTGACTTAAGCAGGTTCAATATGTTGGTTCCTGAAAGGTAAAATACATATAGAATGTCCTGCATACTCTAAGGATAGAGATTTGTTATTTGATCTGATATTTAAAGAATGTAAAAAATTTTACTTCCAAGATATGGTTAATAAATTTATTTTGTTATTAAACTGCGAGTCTATTAATATTTTGAAACAACTTGGCTATTTCTGATCAAAACTCCTGCCTTGAGTAAACATTTATTATATAACACTGGGATACTGTTAGCAATATTTATAATGTCTAACTTTAGTATACTGTTTTGCTGTTCTGCTTTATTGTATTTGTAATTGTAACTTTATATTGTCATATATGTATATATATCCACATTGCCCCTTGAGGGTACCTCTTATGGAAATAAAAGATATTCTATTCTATTCTATTCTATTCTATTCTATTCTATCCCTGTCCTGTCCTGTCCTATCCTGTCCTGTCCTGTCCTGTCCTGTCCTGTCCTGTCCTGTCCTGTCCTGTCCTGTCCTTTCCTGTCCTGTCCTGTCCTATCCTATCCTATCCTATCCTATCCTATCCTATAAGATTCTATAAGATTTAAATGGTTCACACCTGTAGTGTTTAATCTTTAAATTCTTTAACTTTTCATAATGTCCTACTTTTTAAAATCCATGAATCATTCAGACAACATTCAAAGGTGTTTACTGTTAATCAACTTATTTTCGTGAGCAATTTATTTCCGGACTTCACAAGTAGAAAAATAATGCGAATATAAGTTGTTGGGAATATGTAAAACTTGTATCTTTCCTTATTAAACTACACCAAGTAAATTAGAAAAATCACTAAAGTAAAGAGTTGCTAAGTGGACTAGAAAAGATAAAACACATAATAAAGTATCCACGAAAATAATTTGGTTTATTTTGAATCTTCCTGAAAGTCAATTTTTTCATTTGGTCCTGTAAAAAAGTATTGTATGATTACAGATGATCAACTATCTCATTTTAAGAAAATTATTACATATTGCATTGTCAATAAAGATCCATTGCACTGGGTTCCTTATATCTTATAATTTTTTAAAAATAAAAATTTGATTGACATGTTTTACCTTCAAAATTTCTTGAGAAAACATAATGATATTTGGTAAGTTGAAAAATAATTCTATTTTAATTTTCAGATCAACATAGCTCTGTATCAGAAATTGATGACATCAGTGGAGACAAAGACAAGAAGGGAACTGAAGCTAAAGTAGGAACGGTGCACCAGTCAGACAAGAAGGGAACTGAAGCTAGAGTAGGAACAGTGAACCAGTCTTTGGAGAATGAAGAAGTACCATTACTTATGGAAGTTGATGAACTTATATCATCTGATAGTTTTGATGAAGAAGATGAAGTAGATTCAGATACAGGTCTGTTATGAGTAGAACTAATGAACCTCCGTTGTTTTGGAGTTGCTTATGTCAAATTCTGTGTAGATAAACACATCATAGAAACCAGGATTGAAATTTAGTATTTGCGCCAGACGCGCTTTTCATCTACAAAAGTCTCATCAGTGACGCTCGAATCAAAAAAAGTTCAAAAGGCCAAATAAAGTACGAAGTTGAAGAGCATTGAGGACTTAAGTTCCTAAAAGTTTTGACAAATACAGCTAAGGTTATCTATTCCTAAGGTAGAAAAGCCTTAGTATTTCAAAAATTCAAAGTTTTGTAAACATTTAATTTACAATTATGAAAATATCAATTATAATTCATGTCATTAACATGATTAAAGAAATGTTCATATACAATGGATATTACTTGTTAAAAGTGTTTTTTGTTTGTTTACTCGTTTGTGGCATTATTTGATTGTTTACATGTTTATTATGTTTTTTGTTATTTATGTTGGATTAAATATTGTTCGCCATGAAATTATGTCCACCGGACACTATTTCACAGCAAATTGTGTCCACGGACATAATGTTATTATAAAATATATTCCGGACGATATTTACCTATGTAATTGTGTCCACAGATGTGAAAAAGTGTCCTTCAAAGAAAGGATGGTATTTCACAAGAAAAAGTGCCCACTCTCAATACCTACTTAATGTATACATTATCTTCAGTTCTTTATCTAAATAGAAATTTTTAAAATTAGAATAAGGGGTTTTGTCTATTTTAAAACATGGCAGATAAACTGGAGTAGTGAATTCATACAAAATGTGACCATCACCATGTGTAATTAAACATGAAAATTGTTTACTCATTTATTTTGTGCTCTTTGTTAAAATTGTTAAATTGTTTGTGGCGTTCTTTGTGAAAATTGTTTACTTGTAGTTTGGCATTCTTTGTGAAAATTGTTTACTGGTATATGTTGTGTTCTTTCTTAAAATTGTTTAATTGTTTGTGGCTTTTTTAGCTCACATGGCCCAAAAGGCCAAGTGAGCTTTTCTCATCACTTGGCTTACGTCGTCCGTCGTCTTCGTCGTCCGTCTTCGTCGTAAACTTTTACAAAAATATTCTGCTCTGAAACTACTGCGCCAAATTTAACCAAACTTGGCCACAATCATCATTAGGGTATCTTAAGTTGAAAAAATGTGTCCGATGACCCAGCCAACTTACCAAGATGGCCCCCATGGCTAAAAATAGAACATATGGGTAAAATGTAGATTTTGGCTTATAACTCTGTAACCAAAGCATTTAGTGCAAATCTGACAGGAGTTAAATTGTTCCTCAGGTCAAGATCTATCTGTCCTGAAGTTTTCAGACGAATTGGACAACCCATTGTTGGGTTGCTGCCGCTGAATTGGTAATTTTAAGGAAATTTTGCAGTTTTTGGTTATTATCTTGAATATTATTATAGATAGAGATAAACTGTAAACAGCAATAATGTTCAGCAAAGTAAGATCTACAAATAAGTCAACATGACCAAAATGGTCAATTGACCCCATAAGGAGTTGTTGCCCTTTAGAGTCAAATTTAACAATTTTTTCGTAAATTTATGTTATCTTAGCTGAGACAAATTTAACCAAACTTGGCCACAAATAAGCATTAGGGTACTTAGTTTTTAAAAAAGTGTCCCATGACCCTGCCTGCCAACCAACATGGCAGACATGGCTAAAAATAGAACAGAGGAGAAAATGCAGTTTTTGACTTGTATCTTTGAAACTAGAGCAAAAGTATAACGGTTGCATTATTTCATGCATCAATTGTAAGTTAAAATATCATGTGAGCGACAAGCCTCTAGTTTGTTTGTACATGTGATGCAATTGACTTGTCTCTGTCTTGTAATATTTTGATGATTTTCTTATAGATATTAAAAATAATTTTTGTTTTCTGTGTTTTTCATGAAAATGGAAAAAGTTCTCTAATATTTTTACAGGTCTTGTTTCACCAGACACAGATTTCACAGAAAAAACTAGTAATGGAGGGAAATCTTTCAGGACACGAAGAAATTCTAAAACACGTGGTCAACATGGTCAACGTGGTCAACGTACTTTGTTTAGGGAGAAACAATTGCAAGCACTCAAATTTCATTTCTTAAGGGATCAAATGCCTCACACAGACACATTAATGGAAATAGCAAATTCTATTGGAATAAGTGAAAGAGTGGCAAGAGTATGGTTCCAAAATGCTAGAGCTAAAAAACGTAGGGAATTAAAGATTAAAGAGAAACGGCGAAATTTTATAAGACACAGAAATTCTGAAATAAATCCAAAGTTTAAAGGTCAGTCAAATTTTCTTTCTTGTAAGTTACTTTTAACAGAAATAACATAAAATGTTAAATTTGTGAAATTAGAGCCACTTTCATGACCTGTTCAATGTTGGTGTGTCTGCCATTATCAAACCATGAGTGCCACATGTGGAGTAGAATCTGCTTATCCTGCCAAAGCACCTAGCTGACATCATGCTCAGTTTTCAGATGGGTTTGTGTTGCTCAGTCTTCAGATTTTCTATGCTGTGTTTTGTATACTGTTGTTTGTCTACTGGTCTTTTTCTTTTTTTTGCCATGCTTTGACAGTTTATTTTGGACTTATAGTTTAAATGACCTTTGGTATCCTTTGCCTCTTTTTAAAGGTTAATAACAACATTTTTCTTCAATGTCTTTCCAGTTCTTTGGAAACTTTTTACTCTGTTAGTCTTTCAGTGCAGCTACTTCATATTGCCAGGTGTGGATCAAGGATTTTTGAAAAAGGTTGGGGGAAGGGGGTGTAATTCCAGAAAATAATATATAATCATATGAGCAGGGGGAGCTGATATATTTTTCTGATCACATAGAGGTGAACACCCTTCTCCCCACAAATCTGCTGTCTTAATCTACATGACTAATTATATTTGTATTGACATGATTAAAGTATTAGTCATGAAACAATATAAATTATGTATATTAGATTACAGTATACATAGACTTTGTTAATCATGTTTATATGTTTATAAGAGCTCAATGATATCGGTCTCTTCCTTTAGAAGTGTAGAAACTTTGTTTCTTATCGAAGAAAAGGTGTGCAGATTGATTCTCTCCCTTGTTTGAGCAACAGATATATAAAATTATTGCTCACCTGTCAAACTATGGTATTTTTGTCTCGCCTTGACGGAGTCAAAAAGCGAGACATATGTATGCTGTTTCCGGCAGCAGCTGGCGGCATCAACAATGTATTAGTTTGTGAATAGGTCTAATTTATGGGGAACCAATAGCGGTAGGTCAATGATATTTGGTATGCAGTTATATTGGCATTGGCACATCTCATTACCATGGAGATTATTTGGCCCCGCTCCCTCAGTTATGGTCTATTGACTTTGAAACTTTGCTTAGTTTACATGTATTAAGTTTGTGATTAGGTCAGTGTATGGGGAACCACTAGTGGTAAGTTAACGCGAATTGGTATGCAGTTGTATAAGTGATGGCATATCTCATTTCCATGGAGATAATTTGGCATGGCCCCCTCAGTCACGGTCTATTGACTTTGAAACTTTTGCTTAGTTTTCCTGTATTAGTTTGTGATTAGGTCAGTTTATGGGGAACCACTAGAGGTAGGTCAATGATATTTGGTATGCAGTTGTATTAGCATTGGCACATCTCATTACCCTGAAGATTATTTGGCCCCTCCCCCTCAGTTATGGTCTGTTGACTTTGAAATTTTGTTTAGTTTTGTATTAGTTTGTGTTTAGGTTTGTTTAAGGGAACTTCTTATGATAAGTCAATGGAATTTGGTATGCAGTTGTATTAGCATTGGCACATCTCATTTCCATGTAGATTGTTTAGCCATGAACCTTCAGTCATGGTTCATTGACTTTGAGTATTTGCAAAACTTACATGTTAAAGTGTTGCTATTTTAATTACAACCTTTGTATTATCGAAATAACAAAAAGGGTAGACATATCTCTGTGTTAAAGTTTCAGAGGAGAAGATTTTTGAAATAGTTTACCACGACAGACGACGACAGCAGACGACGACGACAGCAGACGACGGCGACAGACGACGGTCGATGACGGACGCCAAGTGATGGCATAAGCTCACATGGGGCCAGCATCTGACTCATGAAGTGTTATTTTCATTATTTCTGCATTGTTTCCAATGTAATGGTTACATAAACAAACTATGGTATTTTTTAACCAAAAAACCCATTGTTGGGTTGCTGCCACTAAATTGGTTATTTTAAGGAAATTTTGCAGTTTTTGGTTCTTATCTTGAATATTATTGAAGATAAAGATAAACTGTAAACAGCAAAACTGTTCAGCAAAGTAAGATCTATAAAAAATTTATAAGACCAAATTGTTAATTGACCCCTTAAGGAGTTATTGCCCTTTAAGGACAATTTTACACAAGTTGTTTATGTTTTTTAACTTTAAAAATCTTCTCAAATGAATCTAGTATAAATCTAGTATAAATTTTGTATTTTATTTCCTTGAAGGTCAAGAAACATAGACAATATGGCTAAAATGCAACATATGGGTAAAATGCATTTATTTGCGTTTGAAGAAAATATGACAGATACAATGAACATTTAAATGGCATTTTCAGCCACTCATTAATATATATTGAAAAGCAAAAATAATCATTGATGAAAGATTTAAGCAAAAAAATAACAGGTGAGCAATTCAGGCTCTTGAGAGCCTCTTGTTTTATTTACATTTATCAGGAATGCTCAAAGTCCAATATTTTGTTGATAAAGCATCCTATTTACAGTAGGTCAATGTGACCTAATTTTCTACTTCGTTGACTGGTATGGAGTTTTTCAGATATTAGGGTGACAGGCAGATAACACTATAAAATTGAGAAAGGAAATGGGGAATGTGTCAAAGAGACAACCCAACCAAAGAGCAAAAAACAACTGACAGCCATCAATGGGTCTTCAACACAGCGAGAAAATCATGCTCCTGAACGGCGTGCTTTAGCTTGCCCCTAAACAAAAATGTGTACTAGTTCAGTGATAATGGAGGTCATACTACATTTGCTATTACTAAACTCCAAAACATATAAATGAACTAAAATAAAAAATCATACAAGACTTACAAAGGCCAGAGGCTCCTGACTTGGGACAGGTGCAGAATTGCGGCTGGGTTAAACATGTTATGTGAGTCTGAGATCTCTTAAATGTTTGGTTTCTTTCAGGTCAACAGAATAAATTACCAAACTTGGATTGTAGTAATTCTAGTATGCACATGTTTGAAGCAGACAAGGAAGAAAATAGCAATCAGTCCGGGTACCAGTTCCAGACCAAGTTATCTGACAAACCTCATGACATGATGTCAGCGGTAGGTAGTAATCTATGACTGAAATAATGTATATTGGGACATTTTCATGTGTGTCTACTATTTGCTTTTTTTGTGGTAGACATTTAACATCTACAACATTTCTCTGGTATTTAAATGAATTGTTGAAGATCATTTCAGTATAATAATTAACAACAACAAATAATGAACTGTCCAGTCCAAGGCCAAAATTGTGAATAAAACCGGAGGTGAAAATAACTTTATATATGGTAGTCTAGATCTGTTTGTATACAAAGAAGCATGGTATCATACTTTAACTTTGTTTAAACCTGTTTATTTACTTTTGACCTTAATTATTTATCCCTTATAATTTTTATTAACTATGTATTTGTATTCAGGTATCACAGATCAAATTTATTTGTTCATTGTGTGTTAATTTACGTTTTTGATTGAGTTAAGCCTTCCAATTGATATTTTATAGTGTGTCTTTCTATGTTGTGATGTTATACTATTGTTTCAGAAAAGGGAGAAGGTTTGGTACCATTAAAACGTTTAATCCCCCTGCAAATGTTTGCACCTGTCCTAAGTCAGGAATCTGATGTACAGTAGTTGTCGTCTCTTTATGTAGTTCATATGTGTTTCTCGTTTCTCGTTTTTATATAGATTAGACCATTGGTTTTCCCTTTGAATGGTTTTACACTAGTAATTTTTGGAGCCCTTTATAGCTTGCTGTTCGGTGTGAGCCAATGCTCCGTGTTGAAGGCCGTACCTTGACCTATAATGGTTTACTTTTATAAATTATTACTTGGATGGAGAGTTGTCTTATTGGCACTCATACCACATCTTCCTATATCTAATTAATCATTCATTTTCATTCCGTGAACATTTAAATTTGTGGTCCATCTTTACCCCTAAAATCTAGCTACCAAAACTGATATTCTACGAATAAAATGAATCCAGAATACAGTACATTATGTCTAGATGAGAAATACTGAAATGGCCAAATGATAATAATTCTGAAATAAATGATATTTAATTTGAAAAATTCAATAACAATTTTGATTGGTATACATCTGTTCTTTGCAGGTTATTAAGACAGAGCCAGAGGACATTGGTAAATCTGAAAAAGACCCATTGATAGAAATCGTAGATGATAGCTTACCATGTTTAAGGTGAATGGAACACAGTTTATATTATTACCAAAGTTAGAGTGGTTTAGTTGAACTGAGAAAAAAAAAATCCATGTAGAAAATTCTATGGCAACCATAGATTAATTGGAGAAAATCAGTGAATGCATTGATTATGTAAAGCCTAAAGGAGCATCAAACTTTGGCCGGAATAATTCTAAGATTTCTAAAATGACTGCTTCAGAATTTTGTTTATTTTGCCTTGCACAATGGAACTGATCTTTGCAAGTTGAGAATATATTGTGAACCAATTCAATGTTGAGTAATATTGTTTATGATTTTCATTTTGCCCTTAGGTGCAGCCAATTCCTAATATGGCAAGCTAGGTCCCTTTAAATAGGCCAGTATAAAAACAGTAAAACAAGAATCAGTTCTTCAGTTCAGGCCTGATTTGATTGGTTGCAACTGCCTCTGGCTAATTTGTAGTATTTAAAAATCAGCTTTTGAAATCATAACATTATCTATTGTAGAAGTGGTGGACAGGATATGCTATATGACAGCCTACAAAATGAGGACAAAGGCTATCAGACTATGGAATGTCGTGTTGTTCCAGAACATATGAAAGTTGAAGAGTTTATATCCTCCGATCAATTTGATCAGAAAGGTAGGCATATTACACTGATTCTCAGCAAATCGGCCCATTTGCCAACATTACTATTGGAAAATAAATTTGTGTAAACCAACTTTTAATAATGCTCAAATGATTCGTATATATATGATTTAAAAGATTCCAAAGTGGTTGATCTTCGCTCTTACTGTGAAAATGGTATCGTGGTCAAGACTATGGGTCACAGTTTTCCACATAACAGATACGTTACCGTCGTGTTTTATTAGCTCACCGGGGCCCAAAGGGCCCCATGTGAGCTTATGACATCACTTAACTTGGAGTTTGTTGTCGTCGTCTGTCGTCGTAAACTATTTCAAAAATCTCTTCTCTGAAACTACTGGGCCAAATACCTTCAAACTTTAACTAAATGTTCCTTAGGGTATCTAGTTTATAAATTGTATCCGAAATTTTGTTCCATCGACAAACATGGCCACCATGGCTAAAAATATAACATAGGGGTCAAATGCAGTTTTTGGCTTATATCTTAAAAACTAAAGCTTTTAGAGCAAATCTGACATGGGGTTAAATTGTTCAATTGGTCAAGATCTATCAGCCCTGAAATTTTCAGACAAATCGAACAACCCATTGTTGGGTTGCTGCAACTAAATTGGTAGTTTTAAGGAAATTTTACAGTTTTTTGTTATCTTGAATATTATTATAGATAGATATAAACTGTAAACAGAAATAATGTTCAGCAAAGTAAGATCTACAAAAAAGTTAATAAGACCATAATTGTCAATTGACCCCTTAAGGAGTTGTTGCCCTTTAAAGACAACTTTACACAATTTGTTCATCAAGTTTGCTAACATTTAAAAATCTTCTCCTCTGAAGCTACTGGGCCAAACACCTTTAAACTTTAACTAAATGTTCCTTAGGGTATCTTGTTTATAATATGTATCCGAAGTTTTAATCCATTGACAAACATGGACGCCATGGCTAAAAATAGAACATAAGGGTCAAATGCAGTTTTTGGCTTATATCTCAAAAACTAAAGCTTTTAGAGCAAATCTGACAAGGAGTAAAATTGTTCAATTGGTCAAGATCTATTGGCCCTGAAATTATCAGACGAATCGAACAACCCATTGTTATGTTTCTGCCACCAAATTGGTAGTTTTAACAAAATTTTGCAGTTTTTTGTTATTATCTAGAAATATTATTATAGATAGATATAAACTGTAAGCTGCAATAATGTTCAGCAAAGTAAGATCTACAAAAAAGTTAATCTGACCAAAATTGTCAATTGACCCCTTAAGGAGTTATTGCCCTTTAAAGACAATTTTACACAATTTGTTCATCAAGTTTGCTAACATTTAAAAATCTTCTCCTCTGAAATACAGGTGAGCGATTCAGGCTCTTGAGAGCCTCTTGATTTCCTAGCAAGCAATTTTCATACAAAGTGTCATTGCTTTAATATTTTCTCCATTATAGTACCTAAGATGCTATTAATAGTCATAATTCTTGTTGATAGACTTTATTTTCTAAAACTGTTCGTAAAAACCGTTCTCATGGGCGTAGAAAAATTCGCACCGAACCAACCATACAAATATTTCGAACCTAATTTCTATTTCAAAAAACAACGGCAGACATTATCTGTTAACCAAGCTTTGTTCTTTTAATACCTGTAAACAAATTACATAAAATTTTAGAGGATTGCAACACAATTCCATATTGCAGTCCTAAGTATGAAATTGTTCAAATTATTATGGCATATTGTTATTCTAAACTGTTTCCCAAAATTGATCACCCTGAAGATCATAAAAAACATTTTATTAAAATCAAGTATGTCAATAAAGGTTTTGATTTTGTAAATATTGCCAGTATTTTTAATGATCATTCTGTTAAAGAACAAATTCCTGGATATTTTGATAATACTGAACTCCCTCTTATTTGTTATGTTTACAAAAAATCTACTCGGAATATGTGTTTAATTATAACCAAGTGTGTAAAGATGTAAATATCAGTGACAATACACCTACATCATGTAATTGCAGTAATTCCGAATACATTTATGGCCCTAGTTCCCATGTTATAACAGGAGACCTTAACATCGTTCCTGACAGAGAGTTGAAATCATTCCTCAGTAAAGGACCTAAATATCGTCCCCCATCAATTATTAATTGGAATGAGTGTCATAATATCATCCACGACTCACTCCGTACTTACTGTTTGAAATGGATAAAACGAGAAAAAGCTGACAAGAAATCTTTGGACTCTTTTTATGCCCCGCCGTAGCGGTAGGGGCATTAAGTTTTACCCTTGTCCGTCTCAATGTACGTACGTCTGTCCGTCCGTACGCCCCATAATTGGTTTCCGTTCTCTAACTTGAGTTTGCCTCAACCAAATGTTATGAAACTTATACACAATGCTTATTACAACAAAACACAGATCAAGATTGAATTTTGGTGGCGTCACTTTAACCGCTCTAGAGTAATGCCCCTTTATAAATGGAAAAATTGCAAAATTTTTAGTTTCCGTTCTCTAACTTAAGTTTGCCTCAACCAAATGTTATGAAACTTATACACAATGCTTATTTCACAAAACACAGATCAAGTATGAATTTTGGTGGTGTCACTTTAACCGTTCTAGAGTTATGCCTCTTTATAAATGAAAAAATTGCAAAATATTTAGTTTCCGTTCTCTAACTTAAGTTTGCCTCAACAAAATGTTATGAAACTTATACAAAATGTTTATAACCACAAAACACAGATCAAGTTTGAATTTTGGTGGTGTCACTTTAACCGTTCTAGAGTTATGCCCCTTTATAAATGGAAAAATTGCAAAATTGTTATTTTCTTCTAAATATCAAGTAATTTTAAAAATTGGAGTTATCTTCCTTTGTCCATGATTATAGTTGAATCAACTACAATCAATGCTTTATACAATGCAAGGTTTAATTTTGATTTCCACTGCTAAAACACAGTTTAATTTGGGTAGTGTCACTTTAACCGTTATTGAGTTATGCCCCTTTATAAATCGAAAGATTGCAAAATTTTTAGTTTCCATTCTGTAACTTAAGTTTGCCCCAACCAAACATTATGAAACCTATACACAATATTCATTACCACAAAACTAAGATCAAAGACAAATTTTTTGTTTCTGTTTTCTAACTTTAGTTTGCCTCAACTAAATGTTATGAAACTTATACACAATGCTTATTACTACATAATACAGATAAAGTACGAAATTTGGTGGCAATACTTTTACCATTCTTGAGTTATGTCCCTTTATAAATGTAAAAATTGCTGAATTTTTCGTTTCCGTTCTCTAACTTTAGTTTGTCTCAACCAAATGTTATAAAACTTATACACAACTGTTCCAGAGTTATGCGTGTTTACAAATAGAAAAATTGCTGAATTTTTAGTTTCTGTTCTCTAAAGTTAGCCTCAACCAAATGTTATGAGACTTACACACAATGCTTATTACCACAAAATTTTTGGGTAGCGTCACTTTTACCGTTCTTCAGTTATGTCCCTTTATAACTATATGATATGCAAGCGGGGGCATCATCTGTGTCCACATGTGGACACTATCCACATTTATTTTAATTCAGTAATGAACATAGTTGATATATGCATACAACATTTTAAAGAACATTTTACCCTTAACAACAACCATAAAAACCCTATTTCTCGTATCAAACATAAACTAAAAGAACTCGCCAAGGAATTCGTTTTTGTCCCGGTTGATAAGGCTGCTAATAATATCATTATTGTTTGACGTAAATTTTACATTGAGGTTCTGCAAAAGGAAATCACGAATTCACCAACATTCCAACTAACTCCATTTTCGGGAAAACGACATCTGTAACAAACATAAAATTTTAGCTACTTCTTTACAAGCAGAACCAAATACAATGAAAGTTCCAACTATGTACTGGCTTCCGAAGCTACACAAAACACCTTACAAATATAGATTTATTTCGTCTTCAAGCCATTGTTCCACTACTAAATTGTCTATTCTACTTACTAGTACACTTGGTACAATCAAAACCCTAACTATAAATTATTCAAATAAGGCCTTTGAAAATAGTGGAATTAATTACTTTTGGAGTGTCAAAAATTCGTTGGCAGTACTGGATCAATTACATGCTTATATTGGTGATTTTGAATCTGTTCAAAGTTTTGATTTTTCTACCCTATATACCACTTTGTCTCATGTTCTTATTAAGAAAAAATTTACACACCTAATTAAATGGGCATTTAAAAAGTCAGAATGCGAATACATATGTTCAAACTCTTTTAGGTCAATTTTTAGTAGCAACAAACAAAAGAACTATGTCAATTGGACATGCTTTGATACTATAACTGCCCTTGAATTATTATTAGATAACATTTTTGTTCGCTTTGGAGATTCCGTATATCGTCATGTTATCCGAATTCCAATGGGGACTAACTGTGCACCACTTATTGCGGACCTGTTTCTGTATTGTTATGAGTTACAATTTATGACTAAAATCTCAAAGACCCATCGAAACAACATCTGATACAAAAATTTAACAATACTTTTAGATATTTGGATGATATATTGGCTCTCAATAATGACGACTTCAGTATGTATACTAAATAAATTTATCCTGTTGAACTAACTTTAAATAAAGCTAATACTAATAATGACCACTGTCCTTTCCTCGATCTTGATATCTATATCATTAACGGGAAACTCAATACCAAAATTTATGATAAAAGAGATGATTTTTCATTTCCTATCGTTAACTATCCATTTTTAGATGGTGACGTTCCCTTGTCACCATCTTATGGTGTTTATATATCTCAACTTGTAAGATTTGCTCGTGTATGTAACAACGTATTAGATTTTAGCGAGAGAAATTTGTGTATTACTGAAAAATTATTACACCAGGGTTTTCAATATCACAAACTAGTCAAAACATTTACTAAATTTTATCATCGGTACAAGGACATCACTCGTAAATATAATTCAACATGCAGACATCTTATACGTTTAGGTATTTCACATCCAATTTTTTATGGTAATATTCTTTACAAAGCACAACAATGTCTGCATTCACCTCAAAAGCTAACAAAACCTTTAAACAGACTTATTAAGAAGGGATATAGCTACGATACTGTTGTCAGGTCATCAAAGATTGCATATTTTGGCTTTAATATTGATTCACTTATAGGGTCTTTGCATCGGAAATAAACACATTTATTCTAAAACCAGTGGTTGGCATGATACGGGTTATGTTCTTCTCATATATTTTATGATGGTGTAATACTAAACCCCTAATGGGAGGGATTGTACTTGATATTCATATGATGAAGACATAATTTTTCAATCAGTTTATTTGAGGTCTGGAGCTGGCATGTTAGTAGCTGCTAGTAGTCCTTTGTTAATTTATGCGTCATTGTCATTTTGTTTAATTTCTTTTGTTACCTTTTCTGACATCGGACTCAGACTTCTTTTGAACTGACTTTTACTGTGCGTATTGTTGTGTTTGTTTTTTCTACATTGGCTAGAGGTATAGGGGAGGGTTGAGATCTCAAAAAACAAGTTTAACCTGCCGCATTTTTTGCGCCTGTCCCAAGTCAGGAGCCTCTGGCCTTTGTTACTCTTTTTTTAATTTTAGTTTCTTGTGTATATTTCGGAGTTTAGTATGACATCCATTATCACTGAACTAGTATACATTTTTGTTTAGGGGCCAGCTAAAGCCCGCCTCTGGGTGCGGGTGTTTCTTGCTGCATTGAAGACCCATTGGTGGCCTTTGGCTGTTGTCTGCTCTTTGGTCGGGTTGTTGTCTCTTTGACACATTACCCATTTCCATTTTGAATTTTATTTGAAAAGTTAATGATTTGTTCTTGAATCTTTATCTTGATTAAATATTACTGTGATGACAAAAATCATAACAATTAGTTGTTCTTAAATAAAATGTGTTTCCATTCTCAATTTTATCAAGATATTTATCAAAATATGTTTAAATATCAGTTATCTTGTTAATTTTATATATTTTTTCTAATGTTTATATATCTTATCTTGTTTTTCAACTTGGAAATGAACAGATCATGTATCTGTTGAGAAGACAATTTTGATATTGAAAACTCTGTTATATCGGTTCTGGAACTATTAATTATAAATAAACTTTGAATATAAAATATTTTATATCAAAGAAGTGAGCGTAACGCTTTAAACTTGAATGAAACAAAAGAATATAAGAGGTAACGTATCTGTTCATGGCATGCAACGAATACGTTACCGTATGAAACAAATACGTTACTTAATGTTAGCACCCTGAATTACAATACTTAACATTATTTTTATCCTGTAGGTACAAAATTCAAATGTCTAATTATTATCTATGTGTTAAATTATCTTAATTAAAATATTAGCAAAAAATAAATTAAAATATCCAGTTAAAATCAGTACAATTATCAAATTTGAAGTTGTCCTTCATTATGTCTTCACAAATTGCAGCTCACAACTTGTTGTACTGATGATATTACTCATTGTTCATTAAAAAAAACAAAAATGTATTAAGGCAGATACCTCATATGTCTGAATTCCGAAATGATATCGATATTTCGTCGGTAATCGAAACATAGTAACGTATCTGTTGGTACCATATCTGTGTAACAAATTATTCTTGGTTCATTATTTCTCATATGTTTCTAATAACAGGACATTTTTCACTGAAAGGAATATCAAATATGTAAAAACATATGTATGCAGTTAAATAGATCCCGTGCAAGTGGTTAATGTTTTTGCAAATGATTTAATAGTAACGTATCTGTTTAAAATTAACGTACATTTCCTAGTTTTGAAGCTTATCAATTTTCTAAACCATTATAGATACACATCATATAATTTTGTTTTGGTTATAAATATGGACTAACACTTCAAAAGCAACATAATTATTCTTTCAATTAAATTGACCTTTAGATAAATGTAGAGTCTTATTAAAAGTTGGTAACATATTTTGTCAAAGAAATAGTGACATATATTCTCAAAACTGTGTTGGTTTTATTGTCGAGCCTGCGACTTTTGTCGCAGAAAGCTCGACATAGGGATAGTGATCCGGCGGTGGCGGCGTTAGCTAACTTCTTAAAAGCTATATATTTTAGAAGCTAGAAGACATGGATGCTTCATACTTTGTATATAGATGCCTTATGTTACGAAGTTTCCGTCTGTCATATGTCCATTGTCCTTGACCTCATTTTCATGGTTCAGTGACTACTTGAAAAAAAAGTCAACATTTTTTGTAATGTTAATTTCTTTCTTATTATGAGTAATAGGATAACTATATTTAGTATGTGTGTACCTTGCAAGGTCCTCATGCCCGTCAGACAATTTTTATTTGACCTCGACCTCATTTCATGGATCAGTGAACAAGGTTAAGTTTTCGTGGTCAAGTCCATATATCAGATACTATAAGCAGTAGGTCTACTATATTTGGTATATGGAATGATTGTAAGGTGTACATGTCCAACTGGTAGGTGTCATCTGACCTTGACCTCATTTTCATGGTTCAGTGGTCAAAGTGAAGTTTTTGAGTTTTGGTCTTTTTTTCTAATACTATATGCAATAGGTCAACTATAAATGGTGTATGGAAATATTTTATGATGTACATGTCAGTCTCACAGGTTTTATTTGACCTTGACCTCATTTTCACGGTTCATTTCTCAGTTTTAAGTTTTTGTGTTTTGGTCTGTTTTTCTTCAACTATAAGCAATAGATCAACTATATTTGATGCATGGAAGGATTGTAAGGTGTATATGTCTGTCTGGCAGTTTCATCTGATCTTGACCTCATTTTCATGGTTCATTGGTCAATGCTAAGTTTTCATGGTTAAGTGTGTTTCTTAGATACTTAAGCAATAGGTCAACTATATTTAATGCCTAAATTGATTGTAAGGTGTACATGTCTGTCTGGCATGGTTCATCTGACCTTAACCTCATTTTCATGGTTCATTGGTCAATGTTAAGTTTTCTTGTTTAAGACTGTTTCTTAGAAACAATAAGCAATAGGTCAACTATGTTTGGTTTATTGAATGATTGTAAGGTGTACATGTATTTCTCGTTTGGTTTATCTGACCTTGACCTCATTTTCTTGGATCATGTTAAGTTTATGTGTTACTTGTAGTAAAGCTTTGTATCTAGGACTATCAACATAAAATCAATGGTTAGTAAAGAAGGCGAGACATTTCAGCGTGTGCACTCTTGTTTTATGACATTTAACTACTTAAAACGGCATACATTTTTAATGGCTAAATGGTGATAGATCGGAAAAGGCAACATTATTACATGTTTTGCAAGCTTCTTAAGTCGACTTCTCAACAGAAAAAATATCTATGCCATCAGGGACATTTGTTTTATGCAAAATAATACGTTTTAGTAGTAGGCTGGAGTAATTTTGATACTCTACTACGTAGCAATTGTGGTAGTTTTAGCTAGATATCTTCCTGGATTTTCAAAAACATACTCTTTTAGACATTTTAAAGCAGATAAGGCTTCAAATATCTACAGGGACAACAAATCATGTATTGGACCCGATTTCCTGAGAATGAGTGATTAATCTAATTATGTAAATCCTGATAAGATAGAAACTAATTTATTTGCAGTCTTCAGACCTCTACTGTAAAAAATAATCTTTCAGAATTCGATTTTTCATTGGAGAAATCATTTTCTTCTTAGCAAACAAGTGCATTTTTAAAATAATTTTAGTAAAAAATATGGAAAGAATTTTTTTAAGGCAGCAACATTGTTTTTATAATTTTTTCTTTAAAAAAGAATGGAAGGAATAACAATCAAATCCTGTACGAAATCCTTGTATTGCTCACTCTCAATGTCCTGTTATTGGCAGGTGGTCAAATTTCAGTTTTAAGGATGTTTGCTCCTCTTATGTTTGAAGTTTTGCCAGATTTTCGGAATCCTCTGATTTTATCCATGTATTGCCATTAAAAAAATTTGCCCACTTACCCCTACTTTTCTTTTCATAATTTTATTACATATAGGTTAAAAAGCCATATTTGAAAATCTTATAACATCCTTGTTATTTTTTCATAGTTTTTGAAACAAAAAAGCGGCCAATGTTAAAAGTATGAAAAATCTAGAGAGAATCATTTCCTGCCAAATTTTCAATGGCTTATATCTCGAAAACAAGCACACGTACCCATAATTTTTTTCTGCTTTTGTAGTTCCTTTTTTTATATTCTATCATTTTAGAACAGTCCGACTCTATAAAAAATCTTGTTATTTTGAAACAGAGTAGCAAACATCCTTAAAAGAAATTCCACAGAAAAGAATGCTCATATTTAATATAAAAATATAAATATTTTACAGCCCTTCCATCTCTAAACAAAGAATCTACTGTTAAACATGCTGAGATCAAGGTTACAGAAGAATTGATTATTACTGATATCAGAGAGAAAGAGATTGGAGATACAGTGGACAGGGAGATGGAGTCGGTAACATTAACCATTCATACAGCTGATACAATGATAGGTGTAAGTAATGCTGTACAGACAGTTGTTGTATTTGAACAGAATTTAACATAAAACTAGACTAAATGTAACACTGGGTAATCTGTAAACCTATCTATACTTAACACTGTGTTAACAACAAACCTAACACTGTGTAACCTGTAAACCTATCTATACTTAACACTGTGTTAACAACAAACCTAACACTGTGTAACCTGTAAACCTATCTATACTTAACACTGTGTTAACAACAAACCTGTCTCTTCTGAACCCTTAACATTATTTAACTGTAATTCTGTCTTAACTGAACCCTTGGTGAACTGTAAAACCTGTCAAAATAGAACACAGCTGTAACCTGTATCAAAAGAATACACCTGTCTAAACAGAACACAGTAACTTATAAACCGGTTAAAACCTAACACTGTGACCTATACTGTCACATATAGTAGTGATAGTTGATGTATAGTTTTCTCATTGGCAATACTGTGTGAACAGCAAACATGTCTAATGAGACTCTTGTAACAACAATGCATATCTGTGTTTATTACAGGAAATTATAGGCAAGACAAATAGTAAGGACTTGAAAGATAAGGATAATATACTTGACTCTTGTGCTGACCTTATACATGTAAGTTTTTGTTCAGTAAAAAAGTTAATTTACATTTTATGTATTATCTGTGTCATTAAGTTTATGTTTAATGTTGTTTTCCATTGAATTGTATGCACATCAAGTTGGAACACTTGTACCAATGCTCATTATGATTTTATAATATATTCAGAATTGTGGTTTTTACAAAGATTTCATAGTTTACTGATAATAAGGTTAAAGTTTTGGTTTAAGATAAGTTAAATTATATGTATTGAAGGTTTTTGAAACATATTTTTAACAAAAGCTATGTTCACATCAACTTGAAACTTAGAAACCTTGTATGCCTCATTATAGTATGGGTGTTTTAAGGTATATGCCACATAAGGAATTTGACCACTATTTCATGGTTCACTGAACATAGAAATGAGATTTATTAAGCTGTGCATGTTGTCATATTCTTGTTAGTAAGTTTGATGAGAGCAAATGATAAAACCATGAAATATGGTACTTTTCTAAAAACAAATATAGCTCTCCAACTATTTAAATTATGCGACCAATACAAATACTAGAATCCAGTCATAACAGTCTGTAAAATCTTTTTTACCATGATACAAGATTTAAAAGTTCTTTTTGAATAACCTGTTTAATATTTGTACATGTTGTACATGTGAAAGTTTTTACAGACAAATGTTTTAATTGTAGGCAATTAAAATATTAATGGAGAAAACAAGAGATTTAGAAAGAGAAATAGTGGCACAGGGCAGGGTGAGCATTTTACATAGTAATTGAAACTAATTAAAACATTAAAAGGAAAAAATTTGGATTTAATAGACGTTCAGTTCTGAAACTGTCTGCTTTTCCAGGTTCAATATAGTTTTACATACACAAAAGGTCAGAAATCTATGCAGTATCAGGATCAAAACAACAGTGTCTATTTACAGGTTATGTCACCTTGGAGGGTCAAAATAGTAAATTTTTGTTCATATTTGAAGTGGTTACCTCATTTGAATCATATTGTTTGCTCTATTTGCCTGTGTACAAATGTCTCTATGATATTTTCTATTACAGGCAAAATCTTCCAAAAATGAATTCTATAAGAACAGTCATAGATGGACGGAACGATTGTTATCCATAACTAGATCTGTTGGCTTAGGTGTCACAGCATTGATGTAAGTAAATTGAAAACAAATGGTTACTGTGCTATTTTCACTAGTAGAAAATAATATGAATATAAATTATTGAAAATATTTAAAACTTGGATCTTCCATTATATTATATAAATACATCAAGAAAGTAAGAAAATCCTGAAAATAAATTGACTGAATTCGACCAGAAAGGGCTAAACAGGAAAAGAAGTATCTGTGAAAATTGATCTTTATGTAAAATATAAAGACTATAGAAACCCCAAATAGGCATGCAATCATTGATCAAATATCAGCGGAAAACTCATATTAATTATCGTCATAAAACTACTGTTCAAAGTCACTTGATTTAAATTTATGTGGGGAGTATCAGTAATCTGAATAAGGTACAATGTTATACTACATAGGAAAAATTGCAACATATGTTTTCATATGTTTAACATATGTTTTTCATATGTTTAACATATAAACATAACATATGTTTTTCATATGTTTAACATATGTTTTTCATATGTTTGAAAACATATGTAAACATATGTTTAGGCCCGACATGAAAACATATAACATATGAAAAACATATGGAAAACATATGAAAAACATATGTTTTTAAAATCATATGAAAAACATATGTTGCAATTTTTCCTGTGTAGTATTGAAGGGGAGATAACGCACTGTCATGACAATGTTTATTTACAGTGAAGCTGTAGACAAACTAGTAAGTGGAGAGGGGAATTCTTGGAAGCTTATTGCCTCTTCTAAGGAGATAGCACTATGCACAGCTCAGCTGGTGGTAGCATTAGAGGTCAAGTTAGAAAGACGAAGTAAAAAACGGGAATCATTATCAGAGGCATCCAATAGGGTTATTCAGAATGTTGAAATAATTGTTGGCTTAGCGCAGGAATGTTCAAAGGATTTTGGAGAACAAGGTAAATATTCTATATGTTTTGAGACGAATGATGTCTATAAATTTAATTTTTTCTGGAATTTTTATAGTTTTGTCAAAAAAAGTATTGGTTATAATAAAGCAGCTGAATTGAAATTAAAAAGCAAATTGGATATTATGAATAATTTATATTTTTACATTTTGTTCAGTAATAGGAATTATCTTTACTACGGGGACAATTTGAAAATTTGGAACTACTAAACAAACCACTTAAAATGATGTCAGTGGTAACTTTTTTTAAGGATGATTTTCTATTTAACAGTTTGGAGTATGAGACAAATACTGTAAACCAACTTATTTTCGCAAGCGATTTATTTTCGCAACTTTCGCGAGTAGAAAAAAAACGCGAATATAAATCGTCGCAAATATGTAAAACTTGAATCTTTCCTTATTAAACTAAATCAATAAATTAGAAAATCGCGAAGTGTACTAGAAAGGGTAAATCGCTAAATAAAGTATCCACGAAAATAAGTTGGTTTACAGTATATAGTTTGTAACATATTAGAGATGATACATGATCTTATCTTAATTAAGGACAGCAGAAGTGAAACATAGCGATCGTAAAAAAATAGCATTTTAATATTAGATATTCTTTGTTTTTGGCAGTCAACATTTAACGAGGGGCGTAAAGGGGGGGTATCTGCACGGAAGAACGCGAAATAAAATTGCCATTTCACGATGAACGAACAATTAAAAATTTCTTGGACGTTTATCTTTTTACCGATTTCACGAAACACGGTGAATAACAAACCTTTTTCACAGCTGCACATGAAATAAAAATGGCAAAACACGTTGCACGAAAATAACTCTTTACCACCCTATTTATCATTTACACTAGCAGCAGCAATCACAGGATTGACACAGTCTTTTGCTAAACCATTTAAATTTTTTTTTTATTTATATTTATACTGTAACAGTTAATTTATATTGATGTTTTTTCAGATATTCCATTACCAGGGATTAGTGGCATAAATACCAGTATAAAAGATATGACAAGGAAAACACATTTCAGAACTTATTTCAATCCAGAACAATTAAGATTATTGAAGTCTATTTTCGTTCTTATAACATTTCCCAATACAGATACAGTGATAGAGATAGCAAAACAAACTGGGTTAAGGAAAGAGGTTGTACAAAGTTGGTTCAGAAATGCCAGAGCTAGAAGTAGGAGGCTAAATTGGACAAATGACCAGCAAGTTGGTGAGTCTTGATATTAGCTGTATAAGAGAAAAGACTTATGCATTTTCCATACTTTGTTAATCCCCTCAAAAACATTTTGTCAGTTTTATAAGAATAGAAAAATTGTGAGAAAAAAAGCTAACACATTCATAACCCTCATATCCTAAATACATCATAGCATTCATATATCATCCTTATATTTAGAAATCTCCTAAGGGCTATTCCATTTAAAAGGATGGGAAGGGGGGGGGGGGGGGGGGGACTTTTGAAATATCCTTACAACCAACTACCATTTTTTGAGATAATTTTGCATAATGGTAATAGACGCATATTTAAAAAGACCCATGACCAACATTCAATAATTACATATTCCTTCCTACCCCCCACATTTTATTGAAATAGCCCTAATAAAATGTTTCCAGTGTAAAGAGAAGAATCAAAGAATCTTTATTTCAACAGCTTCGAGACAGTGTTCTACCTGGCACATTTGAGCAAGTTAATTTTATATTTTATTGGTAAATTTGAATAGAAATTCTAAGAATTTTTTACACTTTGATAATTTTTTTATCCTAAATTCCAAAACGAGAAAAAGCACATGAGCAAAAAAGTTTCAAGAAAGACAGTAAATTTACAGACATATGAAAAAGAAGACCAAATGACACTGAAATTAACAGATATAGGTCACTGTACGGCCTTCAACAATTAGCAAAGCCCATACCACATAGTCAGCTATAAAAGGCCTTGAAAGGACAAATGTAAAAACAATTCAAATGAGAAAACTAATGGCTTAATTTATGTACAAAATTATGAAAAAAAAAAAATATGTAAACTGTATATTTGGGATTTTTTGTAGATCAGGAAAACTCTGCTGTAGATGAAGAAGAACATTATATTGATGAACACGATGTTGATAAGGAAGAAAATATTCTGAATGAGCGAAGTTGTGATATATCTTCTGATAGTCCCATTGTAAGTATTTAATTTTAGAGATCATGAAATTTACTGAGATTTCACAATTGCTGGTGTGAATTAATAAAATATGGAACAAAATCACGGTGTGAGACAATTAAGTTGTTATAAAATACCCCTCCCTCTGAAAAGAAAAATATTGATATTTTTAAATGGTCCTAACCCACTTTCCCCAAACCCCAAAAGATGTATCAAAATCAGCAAACGACATTACAAATGAACTGTAATTGAAGTCTTGACTTTTTCCCTGCATAAAAGTAAATATCACAGATATGATTTTTCAGACTATTACAAATGAACCCGATGAAGCAGAAACACGGACCCCAGAGCTAATTACCGTGTCAACAGATGACAAAGATAGTTCTCCAAGCAGTGTGACAATGTTCATACAGACTTCACAGTCAGAGACTGGCACAGATGACACAGTATCAAGTTCAGATGCTGTTGTAGAGATAAAACATGAAGTGAAAGATGACGTTAATATAATAAAAAGGTTTGGTACTTTAATTCAAGATAGTTTTTGTTTTCCAATGTCTGATTTTCATTTTCATTGTATTTGCCAAATTAGCCTCTGTGCCAAACTAGGAGGAGACACAGATCAATCTATGTTACAAGATATACAACTCTTTTAATCTCTAAATTGAAACTAAAAATATTTTGGAACTCGCCTATTTGCTATTTTTGAACTGGCACTGGTAATGATGGGGAAAATGTTTAAAATATTAAAAACAAGACAACATTAATAAAAAGAAATCTAAATCTTGGATTTTAATAGCATATATCATCCAACTGATTTTCAAAAACTTTTTTATTTTTCGCAGCTTTCAACAGTAGAAAAAAAAAGCATATATAAAATGTCATGAATATGTCAACTTTGACATTCTCTAAAAGAAATACATCAATTATATCAGAAAACTGCTGATTCAACATTGTCCAATATGATAAGTTTTTTTTACAATACATTAATTGTACCTATAAAACTTTTTAGATTTCCATGTGTAAATTTTGACTTATTTTGTAGCCATCAATCACCAGATAACAGTCAGAAGAATGAAAGTCAACCAACCACAATGTTTTATGATAACCACCTATATGAAAGTGAGTATAAATCTAGGCAAGACTTATTCTTTCTTTGTGAAACTCCATAAATGAATAATTACATTCTGTGCTTTGAAAACTTCATAATTTTAATGTTGGGGCCTTTTATAGATGACTATACGGTATGGGATTTTTTTATTGTTAAAAGCGGTATTGGTTTTTCTCCTTGTTGAAGGCAGTATGGTTGCCTTTGATTGCTCACATCTACTTTATTTGAACTTTGATGGATAGAACTCTCGTTGGCAATAATACCACATTTCCTTATATCATGTATATATTATTACAGTCAAATTTTATTAAATTATGTCTACTGGAAACTCATTACAAGATTTGATAATATTGTGTCTTCAGGTTACATAATAAAAGAATTATTTAATTTTGTCTTTTGGAAACTCCTTTTTAAAAATTTAGATATTGAAATGGTAGACAACTGACCTAAGACAAATTCAGATCTAAGCTTTAGACATTGAAAAAAGGTAGATGACTGATTCAGCGCAAATTTGTCAGGCTTGAATCTATTGTAAATACACAAATTATTGCGTGCATTTATTAATGCAATTTTGAAATGACAGACCAAATGTAAGAAAAGTTATTGTGATTTTCGGAAAAGTTGTATTCAAATATATGTGTCAGGTTAAAGAAAGCAAGTTCTAATCACTGCATACTCACCCAGTCACATTATTTACAATAATAAAAACATCGCAATTTTTTCTGCATTTACAGTATGACTAATGTATGACTTTGTTATATTGTATTATTTTTTGCATAAATTCTTTTTACAATCTTTCAAATTAAAAAAAAGGAATGGTAAAATAAATTTATTATTTAGAGTTTGAACATTTCTGTTACAGAAAGCAAAGACATTACAAAAGTACAAAAATGCTAAGATTATTTTCTTCTTTTCAGTAATTCCAAAGAAAAAGAAGAAAAGTTACAAAAGAAAGGTCCGTCCACCATATACATATGCATCATTAGTGAGACAGGTAATTATTGATTTTGAATTCCCTAAGAGGGTTAATTGAGGGATGGAAGGACCTTTTAAGGATGTCAGAAAAGGACTTTATTTTTTTATGGAATTCAGGATTTACATTTATCGGGACTCATGAATTTATAATGAATTATTTTCTGGGATCTGGAAAGAAAAGATTTTATTCCTCTTTGGGATATTTGATTTAGTGTTTATTTATCCAGGAATTCGGATGAAGAATGCACTTTTAATTTAAGGCACTTTTGTTTCATTATTAATAAAAAATTATACTCCATGTTGCTAATAAATAACATCTTTTCAACTATCCAAGTAAATATTTATTTATTTCATTAAAGTGACATTATAAGTAAGATTTTGCAGATTTAATACAGAAAATATTGACTAATTTCATGAATTGTTTGCTTTAATTAACAGCTCAAGCATCACTAAAATTATATTTCTGCAAATATCTTTATTAACCACAAGCCTCACAGCAAAGCTAGTAAAATGCTGTAAACCCAGTAAAATTTCCCTCAAAAGAGGCCTCACAAGCCATATATTTAAAGCAGTTTTAGGAAAGACTGATTTTTGGGCTTGGATGTCATAATTTTTTTCTTGAAGACTTTAGATTGAGTGTCTTTAAGGAATGACTGTAATATATTTTCTGTCTATGAAGAAATAACATGAAAAATGTGGTGCACACTAAATAACGCGCGTAGCAGGTTATTTTAAAGTGTGCACAACATTTTTTATGTTGTTTCGATAGACAGAAAATATATTTTCAACTGGAGTAAATCATAAAAAAACGTTGATGACGGTTGATGACGTCACGGTCATACCACACAGTCAGCTATAAAAGGCCCCAAAATGACAATGTAAAACAATTCAAACGAGAAAACTAACGGCCTAATTTATGTACAAAAAATGAACGAATATTAAATATGTAACACATAAACAAACGACAACCACTGAACTACAGGCTCCTGACTTGGGACAGGCACATACATACAGAATGTGGCGGGGTTAAACATTTTTGCGGGATCCCAAATTCAGCCAATCAGAAGACGCGTTACATCCAAAATTAAATTATTAATTCATGGTTTCTCCATACCCAAAAATATGAAAATTAATAGTCAATAAACATTCACGAACCCACAAAAAATCATCAGCCCTGGTAAATATCTATGAAATATTTGCTGCTGGACATTTCAATCAAATAAAGTATGTTTACTTGAAAATAAAATTCAGTTGTAATGTTATGAAATAATTCTGATGTTTCAGGCTATTGTAGAATCTCCAAAGAGACAAATGTCAACAAGTGACATATATGTATGGACACTGAATACATTCCAACATTATAAACAAGAGGCTGACATTTTAACAATGAAGGTAAGCCTGTCCTACTCTTTCAATGGTGGAAAGTTGGGAACCAGATTGTAGCCCTTGGTTAAACATGATGGTCTTTGTCTATACTTTTCACAGAGTTTTTACCTGCCCTGATCAACCTAGAAGTGCCAAATGTGCAACAGGATCTGCTTAACTCACTGGAGCCCATGAGATCGCCCTTGGTTTTTGATGGGTTTTATGTTGCTTAGTCTTTAATTTTCTATTTTGTGTTTTGTAGAAAGATGTTTGTCTTTTCATTTTTTTTAAATCAGTAAAATCCATGCTAAGTAGAAATTTACAGTTAGGCAGTCCATGATGCAAAAACAAGAAGTATTTTCCGGTTGGAGTGTTATCTTAATCCATTGCTTCTTGAGGAATGAGTGTCACACTCAAAACCGATTCTTATTCTCTAAAATTCAGTTATTACATCATAGCACTTCCAAAAATTAGTAATTAAGAATTGTGTTGACAACATTACATCCCCAAAACATTATTGAAAATGAGTGTGTGTGTGTGTGGGTTTGATTTTTCGTTTGCTTGTTGTTATTTATAGGGTGGTTGGCTATTAGTATAATACAAAAATCCTGATATAATACTATGTTTCTGTTTCTGTTTTATAGAATAACATCAGACATACTCTGACTGCTCACAATTGTTTTGTGCGACTTCCAAGTGACAGTTCATCACTAGGAGTATGGTCTGTTGATGATGAATTGTTTGACAAAATGAAAAAACCTCATAGAAGACTGGATGCGTAAGTAATAAGCATTTGTATTGGTACCCTACAATTACAGGCTGTTTTTTTATGTAGATTATCATAGAGCAGTAAGAATTCAATTATAAATCGTATTATGATAAATGATGAAGTAAATAAAGGCAATAGTAGTATACCACTGTTCAATAGTCATTAATCAATTTTACTGAAACAAATCAGGGTCACAAACTAAAACTGAGGGAAACACAACCCCCCTTCCCCCCCAAAAAAAACCAAAAAAAATTTTAAGATGTCAACAATAGGTAACACATTTATTACAGAAAATAATTTCATCATTGCATGTTTATTTCAAGACAGAGTTAGATGTATTCAAGACCAATTACATTGTGACTGACATATTGAGATTTTTATATATATATGATTTTCTGTGAAAAAATGCTTGATGCAAAGTCTAATTGATTTTTCTTCTAATCTTTATTTGACAGAGATGAAGTTTTTTTATATACAAGAACAGAACCAATAGAAACTTCTGAATTAAACACTTCTACAAACCATACCTCATTTGAACTTGCTGTGATGAACAGTGGTGTAGAACTAAATGAACCTTTTGTATTAAACACTGCTGAAGAACCAACCTTGCTGGAACCTTCTGTATTAAACACTACTGTTAAACAGACCTCATTGGAACCAACTATTTTAAATGCTTCTATTGAACCAACCTCGTTGAAACAGTTTAACACTGCCGCAGACCCAAAAACGGATATCACCTCCGCTTCACAAAAAGAAAACAACTTGGAACAAAGAAGGTCAGTCTAATATTTTTAAGTTTTGAATTTTTGAATTAATCCCCACCAGGTAAAAACATAACTGCCATTAGACTACAGTTTTATGTATTCTTTACAGAAAATGACAGACCAGTTCTTCAACTGCATAAAATCAAATGAAAAATCACTTATTGAACTAATATTGTTTTATTTAGACTATTTCCACAATTTACTGCATTATGAAGATGAAGTTGTCTTCAGATTTATTGATCCACATGGGGACATGTCAATGTTAAGAATCATTATCTACCAATGTCCATATAGCATTATTTAAATCTCATGCAACATTACAGTACAAATTCCTTAATTATATATTAAATGTATGTATCTTTATTCTTTAAATTTGATAAATAATCCCACATGATAATATTAAATCCCATTTATATATTCACATTTTCGTGATGATTTATATTAACCTTTTTTTTTTCTCTTTTCACAAAAAATAAATCGCTTGTGAAGATTAGTTGGTTTACAGTATTTTTTTTTTACAAACAATAAGTAATACATACTAAACAGCTGCAAATGTTTGCACCTGTCCTAAGTCAGGAATCTGATTACAGTAGTTGTCGTCTGTTTATGTAGTTCATACGTGTTTCTCGTTTCTTGTTTTTATATAGATTAGACCGTTGGTTTTTCCGTTTGAATGGTTTTACACTAGTAGTTTTTTAGGGCCCTTTATAGCTTGCTGTTCGGTGTGAGCCAAGGCTCTGTGTTGAAGACCGTACTTTGACCTATAATGGTTTAATTTTATAAATTTTGACTTGGATGGAGAGTTGTCTCATTGGCACTCATACCACATCTTCTTATATCTATAAACACACAATGTTTGTATTTTAGGTTGGTTGACCTAATGTCCTGGAATGATTCAATACCAAGTATGGGAAAGTCACAACAACTTAAGTATGTAAAGAATAAGTTTGGCAGAGCAAGTTTGGTCCTTGGAGGTTACCGTTACAGTGCCAAGACCAAACGAAATAATAGAATTTACTGGCGATGTGCAGTACCATCCTGTAGAGCAACGGTGAACACACATGAGGGTCATTTGGTCAAGGTCGGCACACCACATGACCATCCAGCCTACCAGACAGGGTGGTTTAAAATGTAACTATGCAATGTTTTGTTACTTAATTTTAAATATTTAATGTGAATTCAGACATTAATGTGTAATAGTTTTACATTAGTATTGTTTACTTTGTAATAGTTTTACTATGTATTAGTTTTTACTTTGTAATAGTTTTACCATGCAATAGTTTATCATTGTAATAGTTTTACATTATAATAAGTTTTATTATATTGAATAGTTTTTTTTACATTGTAATCCTTTTTTTTTACATTAGAGAATTGAAAATAAATTTTTTCATTACTTGTATTTTTCAGCAATGAACCACCAGCACAGTGCCAAGACAGTCAGCCTTGTGAAATTGAATCTTTGTCAGAAGAATTGGAATCCCCAGGGGGCCAAGATGAAAGTGTTCTACTTCACTTGGAATGTGAGGAAGTGTTTTCATTAGACAGTGATGACGAGCAAGGTATAAAAGACATATCATTACGAATTTGATGTTTTCTCCTTTTAAAACAAAATGAAACAAAAATGTGGTAGATTTGTATCCCTTGTATAGCAACATGTTTTAAGAAAGAAAAACTATATCATTTGTATATAACCAGGAATTATTTTAAACTTTTTTTTTAGCAAATTTAGTGAAAATCATTACTTTTACAGTAACTTAGAGGCAATATAAGAATAAGGAGAATTGGTATTGTTGTCACCATAACAACTGTTCATTAGAACCAAAGGACAAATATGTATAAATGACAGATCACCATACTTACTAAAATAGTGAGGCAATGTATAGTAAGCTATAAAAGGCCCAAGTATGACAAAATGTGAAACCAATGAAAACCAACAGCCTAATTTATATACTGCATCTAACAAAAGATGGCCATCTTTATAGTTATAACATATTTTTATGTTTTTTTTTTATCAACATTGCATACAGGTGAGACATATTTCTGTGTCAACAGTTTATGTATTTCTGCAGGATTTTTGGGCTAATTTTATAAACTGATGTCCAAACCTCTGGATATTCTGGGGTTTTAAACCCTTTAAAAAAATAACTAAAACCAATTTAAAATATAACTTTGCCTCAAAGTTGCAAATTGTATCTGATCTAGCAATCCTATTCAACATGGCATATGTATCTGTAACTGTTGAATCTGTGTTTTTGGTTTCGTCTAAGATGCATTGATGGATTGGACTAAAACAGATTTGTCATACAAATTTAACTTTTGACTGTCAGATCATATAACATGATTCAAGGCTCTCATGATTTTTTTTTAAAATGGCCTGTACCAAGTCAAGAATTTAACAGGCAATTGTTCTACAATCACAAATTTCTGTTTCAGATCAATTGGAACATACACATTCGAACTGTGATGACAACAGCATTAATAATCACAGGAATAGTACATCATCTATATCACATGACAAGAAACAAGAAGTGGGTGTGGACAACTCAATATCTAGATCACTTGACCTTGGCAACTCAACATCTGGATTACATGACCTTGACAACTCAACATCTGGATCACATGACCTTGACAACTCACCATCATCCAGATTATATAACAAAAACCTAAAAGGGAATTTACCAAGACTGGTTACTGACATGGACAACTCATCATCGACATCACATGACATACCACTTGACTTAAAAAACTCATCACCATCCAGATCATGTGACTTGGACAACTTTGAGTCATCTGGATCAAATGACAATACTTCAGGGGTAAGTTATCACTTGATCACATGAATATCTCATCATCTTTAAATAAAATCACATGACAGATGTATAATAATAAGAAACTAGCACGAAAGATTTGATACTTACATTATTATACCCCCGCTTAAAAAGTAGGGGTATACTGTTTTACCTCAGTCTGTCCTCCCATCTGTCAGTCAGTCAGTCCATTCGTCCCATGAATATGTTTCGCTTCATTTATCTCAGGAACTACATCATAAGGTTTTCTGAAATTTGGTTTCAGAGTTTATGTGATTCAGCTTAACCGTGTGATGCGTTTTCAGATTCATCACTCAACAACTTCCTGTTTACTGAACACTTACATTTTAGTGGGGGTATCATCAGTGAGCAGTAGCTCACAGTTTCACTTGTTTATTCAGCATCTTAATCACAAAACCAATGACTTGGGGGTGGGGGGGGGGGGAGGGGAGGGTGGTAGGTGGGGGTGTAATCATGTTAAAACACTGTGAATAACAGCCAGGCTGGAATTGAGCTTTCTTAAATCCTATGAATTTTTATCAACAAAAGACATATATGCTAAATATTTTAGAATGACAAATAGTTTGTTTTACTTATTATAAAAGTAAAATGTTCAGATTTTTATCATACCAAAATGGCAAAGTTCTGTAAGGGCTATTCCATTAAAATGCATGTGGGAGGATAGGAATGGAAGTTTAATTATTGAATGTGGGTCATGGGTCTTTTTTCAGTATGCGTCTATTACCAATATGCAAAAAAATCTAAAAAATCGTTCTTGGTTGTAGGGATATTTTGAACATCCCTTCCTACCCTCCCACATACATTTTAATGGCATAAATAAGCACTAATTATAATCAGGGTTTAAGATGTTTTGTTAAGACTGCAAGGATACACACATTATCAGAATTAAGGTCCTACAAAAAAAATTATTTTACATTAATTTCAAGTAACCTTTCTTAATATTCTATTGAACAGCTATGTTGCACATATAAGCTTTTACACCTTGTATTTCTAGCATTGTCAGCCCAATATTCATTGTTTTTTTTTAGTTACTGGAATCACATGGAATGGAAGAAGAATTCTACTCTTCAGTGGAAGAGGGACACATATTTGCAGGTATATTATCAAGACATTTCGGGGTCTGTTATAGCTGACTATGCGGTATGAGTTTTGCTCATTGTTGAAGGCCATACAGTGACCTATAGTTATTTGGACTCTTGTGAAGAGTTGTCTCATTTGCAATCACACACACTTTTTTTTATAATACTGGATCAGGATCTCCATCAATGCATGCAATTGAAAATTTTCTTTGTACAATGAATGTTGTAAAATTTCAAGCAACCAGCAAACAGGATGTGGCTGCACAGTACAGTAGATGGAAAAATGCTTGCAAGCTACAACTCCAAATTTTCAAGCTGAAGACCAAACATAAAATCATTCTCTTCCATAGAACCAAAGAAAACTTTGAGTAAAGTTTCTACTTAATGTCTTTTGGATGGATGGTATGACAGAATAAACACAGGTTATGGTAATAAACACATGTTACTGTAACCGATAGCAGCAGCAGAGATGACACATACTATAATTATCTACTGCAAATTCAGAAATTATTGCGATGTGTTTATTATTGTGAAAAATATGACAGGGTTATAATCCCAATAATTTAAACTCACATTTTGAAATTTTTTATATGAATTAACAATCTTTCTCAATATTGCAAAAATTAAAATCGCATTTTAGTCTAAATGGACAAAATGGCAATAATAAATGCATGCAATAATTTCTGAATTTACAGTATTTCTTTTAGGGATCCATTTATCTTAATGCAACTTATAACCCAAGGGTTGTCTGGGATAAAGAAATATGGCCATGCACCCCTGACTTCTCCTGTTCCAGAAGTATGAATACGGTTGGTTAGTGCTGAGTTTAACATATGTTTTGTTTGTGGATCCCTCCTCACAGATTGTCATAAGCAGTCTGACTAAAACATGATGTTATATAATGCTAGAATATAAGAATTCACAGGATGTTAGACATCAAGTATTAATGACTAGATAGGAATAGTGTAAATTCAGAAATTATTGCGATGTTTCTATATTGCAAAAAATCGACGGGGTTTAATCACAATAATTTAAACTCACATTTTGAAAAATTTTATATGAATTAAACAGGATTTTTCTCAATTTCACAAAAATTAAAATCGCATTTTAGTCGTAATAGATGAAATCCCAATAATAAATGCACGCAATAATTTCTGAATTTACAGTACATGTATTTGGTTGATGAGGGGCAATGATAAGAAATTGTAGAAAAAAATTACCCAAACTTCATGAAGTTTTATACAACATAAATTTGAAAAGCATTACATTATATATAAACACCTGTAAGTTTTGATATCAACAATTTTTTTCTTTTTTTAGTAAGGAAACCAAGAAGAGTTTACATAAGGAGACCCCCTCAGCCATTTACATATGCCTCTTTGATACGAAAGGTAAGTAGTCCAACTATTGTATCACTAGCCTGTCAACACTAAGGTTATGAGTTGAACCTCGCATATGGCAGGTGCACTTTACTCCTATCTATATTGACTAGGACCTAAAAAAGGCCGGTGGTTCTCTCTGGGAACTCCAACTTTCTCCAACCAATAAATATTGACCACCATGACAATGGTGCTAAAAGTGACGTTAAGCATCAACAATCAATTAATTTCAATTGTTTGTGAGCTCAACTGTTTATTGTTGAAATAAATTAAAAAAATTTCACAAGTGGGGCGATTTGGCATTCACGTCACAGAAATACTGATACTCACTTCTTGCTTTATTCATACAAAAAGAAAACTACAAAAACATGTTTATCTAGCTTAGGTTTTCATAGCAATTGATTGTATTTATAAGAAGGGCAGGAACATAGATTTACAACGGGATTTCATCTTTTTCCATAAATGGGGCGAGTTGGCATTACTAATTTATAAATTCATCGTGGTTTATCTTTTTGTCATGAGTGGGGAGAGTTGGCAGACCTTATTTGAGCGGGATTTTAACCCTTTTACCTAAGTGGGGCAATTATCCAACCTATTTTCAATGGGATTTTACCCTTTTTCATAGGTGGGGCGAGTTGGTAAACAAGAGTGGGGCGAGTTGGTAAACAAGAGTGGGGCGATTTTTTAGAAAGTGGGGTGAGTTGGTGAAAAAGTGGGGCGATTTGCCAGTGGGGCGATTTGTCATGGATTGACTTTCTCTAAGTCACAATGCTTGTGTTATTACATCACAGTAAACACTGATTGTTCAATGATGTCAAATACATTGACCTGGTGTTAACGATTGTAAATCATTCACAAAAAACAACTTAAGATTCATATATTTGCTAAATGTTATCCAAAATGAATTACATGTGTCTAAAACATCTAAAAAAAACTTGATATTTTATTAAAGGGAGGTAACAAACAATTTTAATTAAAGGGAGGTAATAATTTTATATTTCAGGCTATGTGTCTATCACCTACTGTTTCGAGAAATAGTCATTTGACAATATAACAAATCAAATGAAATATATGGGGAGTTCCTCGGGTCACCCCACCCCCTCCTGTTTGAGAACTTGGAAATGGTCGAGATCCCCATCCCTAAACCATATATATTCATGTATGGGACAATAAAACAAATCAAATGAAATATAGGGGTGTCCATGGGGACACCCCACCCCCTCTTGTTTGAGAACTTGTAAATAGTCAAGATCCCCACCCCTAAACCATATATATTCATGTATGGGACAATATAACAAATCAAATGAAATATTTGGGGAGTCCCTGGGGTCACCCCACCCCCTCCTGTTTGAGAACTTGGAAATGGTCGAGATCCCCACCCCTAAACCCTTTTTCATAAGTGGGGCGAGTTGGTAAACAAGAGTGGGGCGATTTTTTAGAAAGTGGGGTGAGTTGGTGAAAAAGTGGGGCTATTAGGTGTGGGGCGATTTGCCAGTGGAGCGATTTGTCATGGATTGACTTTCTCTAAGTCACAATGCTTGTGTTATTACATCACAGTAAGCACTGATTGTTCAATGATGTCAAATACATTGATCTGGTGTTAACAATTGTAAATCATTCACAAAAAACAACTTAAGATTCATATATTTGCCAAATATTATCCAAAATGAATTACGTGTCTCAAAACATCTAAAAAAACTTTATATTTTATTAAAGGGAGGTAACAAACAATTTTAATTAAAGGGAGGTAATAATTTTTATATTTCAGGCTATTGTAGAATCTCCTTACCAAAACTTATCTTTAAGTGAAATCTATCAATGGTTACACAATGCTTATTCATATAAACAGACAGATGATATCACCACAATGAAGGTAAGTACTAAATGTTTCTTCTATCAATCAAAGTTTATCTAAATACCAGACAACAATCATGTACCAAAATACATTCACAACACTATCAGCCTATTTAAGATGTCAGTTCTCTGTTAGATTTGGAAGTCAAGATTCTATCAGATAAATGATAGGCAGTTGTTTTCTATTAGATTTGGGAATGAGATTTTATCAATCTGAATATAAATAGTTATTCCATATTAAATTTGAAATTCAAAATGATTTTATTAGTTCAAATTGTGTTATTATAAGAATAAGAAGATGTGGAATGATTGCCAATGAGACAATTTGTCTCTAAGATCAAATGATCTAAAGGTTAGCAATATATGAATAAATCAACAAATATTCTGTAAGGTTTTTCATAACTGATTTATTAAAATAACATAAGTAGTTTATACTGGGACTATTATTCTAATGGGACTGGAAACTGATCGGTCTGTTGAGATTTCATTGGCCCGATAGCGGATTATTGATTTTTTGTTTTGATTGACAGCTTATCGTGTCACGTAGTAAATTAGCATTCGGTACATGAATGTAAACAATAGATTTCGGCAAACAAGTCAGCATATATAGAGTACTGTTAAAATTGGTGGATTTGAAATAAAAAAATAATTATTGAATTAATTAGTTTAAATGCAAAAAATATATATTGTTTATGAAAAATAATTAATAAGTAGTCAATATATTAGTGTTGAAAATAAAACAGATATAGTAGAAATGCCGGCACTTTACTTGACCGCTAAGAAAACAACATGTCAAAGGTTAACAGGTCATAATTAATCCTGATAAAAACAATAAGTGTGCAATAAAAACAATGTTGACAATTTCAGTTCATAATTAATTCATATAACAAAAGTTACCCAGGTCTCATAAAAATATAGCCACATTGTTTTGAACTTTTATGAACTTCGTGTTTACACCAAAATTTCAATATGGCGGTGAACGGGCCTACTTTTCTAGTTCTAATTGTGGAATCTAGTGTACATATTCTCACGAAGTCATATGCTAATGCCACTTGAAGACCATTACTAAGCAAAATTAACCCTGATTTTAATAAAAATATTGCACACATAAAAAGGAGTAGGCAATTTTATAGGAACAGTATAATTTATTTGAGCCGTGCATGTGGGTTCTGGTTGTAATGAGAAAGAGATTTATATTCCCTTTTCACTTTAAAAAGTGACAATAAAAATAGACAAATCCAAACTATAACCTATAAATATGATTTTACAACAAACCGAACTCGCGTATATCTTTTCAATCAACAGTTATAAGAAATTTTATGAATCATATACTTTTTTCCACATCGTCCCCACGCTATTATCATCCTGAAAAATTCAATCTTTATATGTCATTTTTTACACTTCAGACGGGATTTGGTGTTTAATAACAATTGTCAAAGATCGATATATCTTTTATCATTATAGTAACCATGTTTATATTAAGGATTATCATTTCGAATAACAAATTACCAAAATTATAAGATCAAGGCATGCTGTCACTGTCAAAACAATGTGGTGTATCGATAAATAGCGCAGGTAAAGTCTCGTTCTAACGACTGTGATGTTGAGTATTATTACACTGATTGGTGTAAAGGTTTCCTGGGTCCCGTTATTATAATAGTCCCAGGTTTATAGTTTAACTTTATTGATCAACATTTCAAAAAAGTACTACATTCAAACACACACTCATACATGACTTTTTCTATCTCATCTTTTCATTGAAGCATAATAAAACGGATGTGATCAAAAGTCATTCTGTTTGTTACTTTTGAAATCTAAACTGACTACCAAATTGGAATACAAGCTTGCAATAGCAACCAGTGGTTGTATTATTTAATTCGTAATGGAAATGCTGTTTTCCTAAAACATATCATACTTTTTGCTTATTTTTGCTTGTAGAACAATGCCAGACAAGTTCTGAGTTTTAATAAATGTTTTGTCCGAGTAATTAACGAAAAGAATGAAGGAGTATGGACAGTTGATGAGAAGGAATTTGACAAACTTAAAGCACCACATAGGAGATTAGTCGGGTAACATTATATAAAGTCCTTCAAACTGTTTGGGTCCATAGAATTAGAATATATTGTAGGTCAGCTGATCAGCACATCATGTGTTGTTTTGTTTGTTTCAATTTACACAAATGTTGTAGACATTTATAACTAAACATGGAGAAAACATCTAAACAGACTATATGATAAAAATTTGTTGAATGTAGGATTTTTTAAATAAAAATCTGATTGATTAATTATGTACTGACAGTTCCTGTAACTGAAAATTGTTAAAGTATGTCACTTATTCAATTGTCTTTGCCTTTTAAAAACAATATTTGTAGTGTGTTCAATTATGGGAACAGCAACTATTTGTCTTGGTCTAGAGCACTTTAATCTGATCACTTTCGTTCAAGGTAAAGTATTTGACATATTAAAGGGCCAACCCATGGTAACATCAATATAAATTCAAGCCCATAAACTATTTCTTAAATAACTGTATCTAGTTATAATAGCAAGCACGAATAATTCATATCTAATTAACAAAATATTTATTGTACTCAAAATGGATGTAATATTTGCTACTGGATGTTAAGCAGCTCCTCGACTAGTTATATTTGTATGCAAGTTACAACAATCTGTTCCAGCTTTTTATTTTCATTGTAGCTGTTTCACTAAAAGAAGCAGTAAATCTGTAAAGGATCCCAAATCAGGGATTAAGGTAAGTTAACATACACATAGAAATTTGCAAATGAGAGGGCTCTCTACCAAACACATACATCTTTTGCTCAAAGTAAAGGGTGTTTGTTGAATTTACTTTTTTATTGTAAATTTATGTATTAGCAAAACTGAATCATAAGTGATAGAAGCTTTTATTGTGATATAAATAAGAATAAAGGAAATTTGTGGTATAAACCCACAAATAAAAACTCAACAACAGAAATAGCCAAAAAACATCAAGTGATTCACATGATACAATCTATAACAATACATAGATCTCTTTACAATATGTTTTTGTCGCCAGATACTTGAAAAAATGTTGTCAATAGTAGTGCAAAAGCTTAGTTTTACTCCTGCCACTTTCAATGTATAGAAGATAAAGAGAAACTGTAAACAGCGAAAAAGGATCAGCTAGACAAGACAAACAACAAAGCAGAAATTGTCAATCCACATCTGATAGAAGTTATTGCCCTTGAATTACAATTTCAACCTTTTTATTTTTGGTATTCCGGACAAAAACTAGTAGATAGTAACTGAAACCAGTAAAAAGGCTCAGCAATAAAAGATCAACGAATTGAGATTTTCTAATTATATCCTAGTCTCCAATGTTAGAAATGTGCAAAGATCCGGGTGAGCAACACAGGCTCTTTAGTTTATTAAGGCCTGTACTGACTATCACAAACATTCATGTAAATTTTGACATCACAAGAGAAAAAGGATCAAACCATATTGCAAAAGTGATTGTTATATGAATTCAAAAAGTCAAATATCACAAATTCACATATAAGGTTCACAAAATCCTTAATAGTAATAAGGTCTATAAATCAGTCCTGAGATGTTCTTTATGAATGGGTTTCACTAGTTGACCCAATTAAGGCCTAGGTCAATCAATGTAAATGGTGTCATTGAACAATTAATTCTTACTGTGACATTATATCATAAGCATTGTGAAATTTTTTTTCAAGAACACCAAACGGCAAATATTAATCTCAAGTTGTTCTTTATGAATGGGTTTCACTAGTTGACCCAAGGTGAATCAATGTAAATGACATCATTGAACAATCAATTCTTACTGTGACGTTATAGCATATAAGCATAGGGATATTTTTTTCCAGAACACCAAATGGCAAACAGAGCAGAATGAACATCTTTACCAAAAGTCACCAGAAGCTGCTATAGATTGTATAGTTGATGAGTGTAAGGATGTATTATTTAGAAAAGCTGGGGAACCAGAGCCTGTACAGAAACTACAAAATCTTATTTACAAGTAAGTTATTAATACATCATACTTTGTAATTATACCTCACGTTCCAAAGGAAAGGATATACCGTGGATTCATTATTATTCTTGGGATTCCAATTTTCTTAGATTTTGTGGGCACAGGTGAAATACATAATTAAATGTTCAACGGATAATAAATTATATATGTGCATGGGCTTGTATGCAGACTTTGGCAAAACCATAAAATTAAATATCCAAGAACAAGCAAGTTTTCCTTAATCCACGAAAATTGGTACCCAAGAAAATAAATGATTCCACAGTAGATCACTTTGAGTTATGTCCTTCACCAGAAAAGTTTGCCAATTATGCATGCTGGGACCACCTGTATCCCTGCACTATTCAAGATGATCAAGCATCTTTGTGATTGTTATTATGCATGATACAGTAGAAATTATTGTTGTTCTGTAGGTACCTAATCACAATTCCCTAATGACAACAGTGCTGATATTATAAGAATTTACTTTGCTGAATAATTTGTGCTATATAGCATCTTATATTTCAACCTCTTGCTCAACATTGGAAGGAAGTGACTATGCCTCTAAACACACGAACGATGTTTACTAAAACCAAAATTTTTGAAGAAATGCAACAAACTCAAAAATTGACTTTTGTCCATCTGTCTTGTGTTTTTCGCTCCATCTGTTTGTGTGTAACCTTTTGTCTGTCCTATGGAATTTTTATTTTATTTTCACCCTTGACACCAACCTCTCGTCGGGAAATAGTTGGTGTCACATTGACAATAAACTTGCTATCCTCAACTAGGTCAATAAAAATGTGTATAATATTTTTCCATTCAATATAACTAGCTTTTATTCCTTTTATTGTCTCGCCTTGATGGAGTCAAAAAGCGAGACATAGGTATGCTGTTTCCAGCGTCGGTGGTGGCGGCGGTCGCGTCAACAATGTATTAGTTTGTGATTAGGTCTAGTTCATGGTGAACCACTAGTGGTAGGTCAATGATATTTGGTATGCAGTTGTATTAGCATTGGCACATCTCATTACCATGGAGATTATTTGGCCCCACCCCCTCAGTCAAGGTCTATTGACTTTGAAACTTTGCTTAGTTTACATGTATCAGTTTGTGATTAGGTCAGTTTATGTGGAACCACTAGTGGTAGGTCAATGATATTTGGTATGCAGTTGTATTAGCATTGGCACATCTCATTACCATGGAGATTATTTGGCCCCGACCCCTCAGTCAAGGTCTATTGACTTTGAAACTTTGTCTAGTTTACATGTATTAGTTTGTGATTAGGTCAGTTTATGGGGAACCACTAGTGGTAGGTCAATGATATTTGGTATGCAGTTGTATAAGCATTGGCATATCTCATTTCCATGGAGATTATTTGGCCCCACCCCCTCAGTCATGGTCTATTGACTTTAAAACTTTTGCTTAGTTTACATGTATTCGTTTGTGATTAGGTCAGTTTAAGATGAACCACTAATGTTAAGTCAATGATATTCGGTATGCAAATGTATTGGCAATTGCAAGTTTCATTTCCATGGAGATTATATAACCCCACCCCCTAATTATGGTTCATTGACTTTGAAACTTTTACATAGTTTACAAGTTAATGTTTGTGTTTAGGTTTGTTTAAAAGGAACGACTTATGAAAAGTCAATGGTATTTGGTTTGCAGTTGTATTAGCATTGGCACATATCTCATTTCCATGGAGACTGTTTAGCCCTGTACATTCAGTCATGGTTCATTGACTTTGAATATTTGCATAACTTACATGTTAAAGTATTGTGATTTTAATTTCAACATTTGCATTATCAAAATAACAAATAGGCGAAACATATCTCTGTGTTAACAGTTTATTCATTGTAGCATTAAATCACCACCACCATTTTACGACAGTTTTCTAAGTGATACAAAGATTCTACAAGAAGAATGGGGCCAGGACAATGAATGTAACTCTTCAATTGAAGTTGACGATTTACAAGCAGCAGAACATCATACAGAAGGACAAGGAGAGAGATTCCCATCACCTATATATATGTCCATAGAGAGTGATGATGAGAAAGGTATTTATAGAAAAAAAAGATTGAGCAAACATACCAAATTTCATTGCAAATTCAAATAGAGTGAAGTCCACGAAACCTAACAAAATCAGAAGCTTGTCTATATCAACCTACAGAAATAATTAATTAATACAGGAATTTTTTTTAAAGAAAAATGGTGGGTTGAACTTTGTTTATTTAGCTTGGTTATCCTCACTTGTATGACAGTTGTTTATCATAAGTTCCATTATATTGAAAAAATTTGGTAAACAACCCTAAGTAAAAAATAAATTCAAGCCCAACCAGTCCGTTCATTATAAAATTTTAAAGGCACTTTTCACAAAATTTTCTGATAATCCTTTTTTACAAACAAAAAATAAATGAATCCACAGTACCGTAGAAACTCGCCTAATAGTCGATCCTACTATAAGTCGGGTGCCCTTTTCAGCTCCAAATTCTAAGGATTTAGTCTTGACCCTCGTATAAGTCGGACAAAATTTGGGCATTTTTTTTTCAGCTGACAGTTACTGAACGCCGGTAAAACCAATGCAAATCCAGGAATAATATTCATTTCTGCATTAATGTTTGTTTGGTTTGAATTTAGTTGATGCTCATCATGATAATTTATATTGCTGTTAATAATAAAGATGTATTAATTTCTCTTGTTTTGTTCACTGTTTAAATGTTTGATTAGCCATGTGTTGTTTACGTAATGCATCAATGATTTTGTAGGGTATGACTAACAACCTATTGTTTGAGAAAAGCGAAAATAAACCAATATGAACCTGAAAAATTTAAAGTCAATCAACACTTGATGAAAATATTTTTCACAGCATACATAGCTCGGTGTTAAATGAGCATGTACACTTCATAATTCTTATTATATTGTGATGATTAAAGGATTAAAAAAATTAAGTGAAGCTAGTCAATATATTAAAATAACTAACTCCAACTCATTAGTGTCATCTGTTTACCTATCACTGATAGTTTTCACACCTTTAGTGAATACAACTCTTTGTCTCTTAATTGGGGTTATCACTGGATTATATTGGCTTGTCAATCAATTTTGTAATTTTTGTTTACCTGAGACACTTTAATGAATAATATTTTGATTTTGGGAATGAATCTTAAAATTATTTTTTGATTATTATATGATTTATAAGCATTGAATTGATATCATGATATCACAATAATGACACAATAACTCAGCTGAAAACTTCCTTTCACATATTTGGTACATTGTTATCTCCTTTTCATTTTTGGTTCTTGGCTCTTCTTTTGGGTTTATAGGAAAACCATGAGACCATGAAAATCAATACACAAACCGGAAACAGTAGAATTTCAACACGAATTTGCAGAAAATGTTTACCAAAGAACAAATAAAACACAAAGACAGTATTGTAGTCATTTATTTTCAACAAAAACTTTTTATTTATTGATTTTATGTAGGTTATATGATTTATTGACCTCATCTTTCTTTGCAGATTCTGATAAAGATGACCAAACTATTTTGCAAGATGTCAGACAGATGAATTATTGGAACCAGCGCAGCAGAATAAGACGTACCTGCTTTACTGAGAAACAAGTAGAAATTCTCCAGTCTCACTTCAACAAAAGGAAATATCCAGATTCATGGACCTTGACAAAACTAGCTCACAAAGTTGGCATAAACACAAGAGCTGCACGAGTCTGGTTCAAGAATGCTAGAGCTAAACGGAGAATGGATGTAGATTACTCTAAAATTGGTGAGTTATCACTTTGGAGAAGGCTATATAATTGTTTTCTGGCGTATGCAGCATTAACTATTTGTAGCAAGCTTTATATTTCAGAATGAAGAAGACCTGGATGCTTCATACCATGTATGCATATACCTTATGTTACAAAGCTTCTGTCTGTCAAATGTCCATTGTCCTTGACCTCATTTTCATGGTTCAGCCACTGCTTGAAAAATAAATGGAGAATATGTCCCCATGGACACAGATGATGCCCCCGCTTGCATACAACATTATAAAGGGACATAACTCAAAAACAATAAAAGTGACGCTACCCAAATTTGTACTTGATCTGAGTTTTTTGGTAATAAGTATTTTGTATAGGTTTCATAATATTTGGTTTCTGGCAAACTTAAGTTACAGAACGGAAACTAAAAATTTTGCAATTTTTCGATTTATAAAGGGACATAATTCAATAATGGTTAAAGTGATGCCACAAAAATTCAACTTGATCTGTGTTTTGTTGTAATGAGCATTGTGTATAAGTTTCATAACATTTGGTTGAGGCAACTTAAGTTGGAGAACAGAAACTAAAAATTTTGCATTTTTTTTTCCATTTATAAAGGAGCATAACTCAAGAATGGTTAAAGTGATGCCACCAAAATTCAAACTTGATCTGTGTTTTGTCATGATAAGCTTTGTGTATAAGTTTCATAACATTTAGTAGAGGCAAACGTATGTTAGAGAACGGAAACTAAAAATTTTGCAATTTTTCAATTAATAAAGGGTCATAACTCTAGAATGGTTAAAGTGATGCCACCAAAAAAATTAATAGTTTTTTGTCATGTGAATTTCTCACTTATTATGAGTAGGATAACAATATTTGGTATATGGGTTCCTTGCAACTTCTACATGTAGGTCAAACAGAGTTCACCTGACCTCCACCTCATTTCATTAATTTCATTAATCAAATAATTAAAGGTTAAAGTTACATGATTAGGTCTATTTCTCAAATACTTCATGCAGAAGGTCAACAGTATGTGGTGCATGGAATGATTGTAAGGGAACATGTCAGTTGGGCAGGTTTTTCATGGTTCATTGGTCAATTCTAAGTTTTGGTGTTTCAGACTGTTTTTCAATGACCATAAGCAATAAGTCAATTAAGTTTAACTTAGTGAATGGACTGATTGTAAGGTGTACATGTCTATCTGGCAGGGTTCATCTTACCTTGACCTTATTATCATGGTTCATTGGTCAATGTTAAGTTTTCCTTGTTCAGTCTGTTTCTCAGATACTGTAAGCCATAAGGTCAATTATATTTTTTAAGGTGTACATGTCTGTCTGGCTTGGATTATCTGACCTTGACTCATTTTCATGGATGATTGAATTGATAAGTGTTAAATTTATGTGATTCATGGGGGGGGGGAGGGGGGTGGGGGTAGGAGGGGTCCTGATCCCGAAATTCCGGGCTTAAAAACATGGAATCCCATGGTCCAAAATTTAAAAAAATTTTAATCCCGACATCCCGAAATTCGAAAAAAGAATTCCCGGATCCCGAAAGGATCAATCCCGAAATCCTAAGCTTAAAAACACCCGATCTCGGAGTCCCGATAAAGGTCCTACCCCCTTATTCATGAAGTATAACTTTATCTTTAGTACTATCAACATAAGATAACTCATGAATAGTGAAGCAGGTGAGACATTTCAGGGTATGTACTCTCGTTCTTCTATGCAATACCTTTATAAAAAAAGGTCCTCGTAATAAAGTAGCATAATTTTGAACAAATGCTGGATTCTATGGTTTGTCAAGATTTTATTTGATTGCTTTGGTGCAAAAGGAATTAACAGAAGAAGATAAATTAAGAGATAAAAGAATTATATTGAAATATTTGAGAGTTTGGATATGCTCAGACAAATTGTGTTTTTCTGTGACAGTGGTTTTTGTTGCTCTAGTAAATTCTAAAACTGACCTTTTATATTTTTAATTTAATGTCAGTTGTGTCAAAGCTATGTCATATGAACAAATGAACCTCTGCTGTTTCAAATTTATAAAATCTAATAAAAAAAACTTTCTAATTCTGGCTAACAAACATAGCATTCTTTTATAGCTGAAAATACTGTATGGGTTTTTCTCATTGTTGAAGGCTGTAGGGTTGTCCATTGATTGTTTACATCCACTTCATTTGAACTTTGGTGGATAGTTCTCTCGTTTGCAATCAAACCACATTTCCTTATTTTATATTATAATGTATCTTTATTCAGACAATCACAGAATTGCTTCAGAACTATATGGAAATGGTAACAGTTTTGGTGAATCACACCATGTTGACAAGAGTTTTTGGATGCCAGAATCTCATGTTGTTATGGGGTCTTCATTATCACACAAGAATCAAATTGGTACACTGGAAGATGAGTCCTTATCATTAATAAATGAAGACTCTGTTAATTGTGTGAAAGAACCTGACATGAAAATAAAGCACAGCAGAACTTCATCTTACAACCAGGAACCAGTTTTTGAAGTGACGCATATCAGAACATCAGCTGACAGCAATGAGCCAATCATTGAAGTGAAAAAGATATGTTCACTTGAGAAACAAGATGTATCTGTCAGAAATTCATCTCTCAACAAGGAACCAGTCATTGACCTGACGGATACCACATCATCATTGCCTAGCAATCAAGAGTCATTGTTCCAAAGTGAGCAATTCAGAAAATATGTCATCAACCATGAACCAGTCATTGACTGTAAGGATACCAGTTCATCTTTAATTGGTAAAAGCACATCTGTCATTGATGTGTTACCTTCAAATAATTCATTAATAAAAGTAGAACCAATCAATCACAAGGGTACCAGTTCATCAATTATCAGTCACAAGGGTACCAGTTCATCAATTATCAATCAGAAGAGTACCAGTACATCAATTATCGATCATAAGGGTACCAGTTCATCAATTATTAACCACAAGGGTACCAGTTCATCAGCTATCGATCACAAGGGTAACAGTCCGTCAATTATCAATCACAAGGGTACCAGTTCATCAACTATCGATAACAAGGGTAATAGCTCATCAATTATTGATCACAAGGGTAAAAGTACATCAATTATCAATCATAAGGGTACCAGTTCATCAACTATCGATCACAAGGGTAACCGAACATCAACTATCAATCACAAGGGTAACAGTACATCAACTATCAATCCCAAGGGTAATAGCACATCAATTATCAATCACAAGTCAATCATTGATATGAAGGATATAAGTACATCACTTATAAATTGGAAACTGATAAGTGATGATATTCTTATAGATGACAGTTTATCAATAACCAAACAGGATCTAGGTATTACTACTTTGTCACTTGAAAGTCAGGACTCGTGTGGTGAAATAAAGGCTTCCATTAAATCCAAGGTCAGACAGAACATTGTTAGTGAAAAGAAAGATACTAGTGAACCAGTTATCACACAGAAACCTGTCATTGAAATGGAAGGTACCAGTGTATCATTGATCAGACAGGAACCAATCTGTGAGGAACGAGGGAACCATATTGAAACCTCTGAGGATATCAGTGAATCACCAGTTAATATGAATCAAATAAGTCCTTCTGAAGTGAGGGTTACTAGAAGTAGGGCATCATTAATCAGTCAGAAACAGGATGGCAAAAGGCAGGGAAATAGTGTGTCCAATCAGAAACAGGATGACAAAAGGCAGGAAAATAGTGTGTCCAATCAGAAACAGGAAGGCAAAAGGCAGGGAAATAGTGTGTCCAATCAGATAACAGATGTAGTTTCAAATGTGAAGAGAACCACAAAGGCGCATATATATGTAAGTATTACTATTATGGAATAAAGAATTCTTTAATGGCATTTATGGTTAATCACTTTAAAAGATAATGTCAAATTGTTTTTTTAAATCGCTCTTTTTAAAGACAAAAACATTTCTATCAAATTTTATAAACCTTTTTTAATCCATCAATTCATCATGTTTATCTAGAAAAGTATACAGAACATTAAGAACCACTCCCCTAAAGAATCATGCAAAAGGTGACATATTTTATTTATAATTTGTTCAAAATGCAAAGTTATTGTGAATACTGCCCATATTTTCTATTTTTCCCTTGGTTATGGAGGACTCAATTTATATGAAATGAACTATGAAAAGCCTGTAAGGGGAGATAACTAAACAATCTACAGTACATTACATTATATATATATATATATGAAATCAAATCAATTTAAGCTCATGATCAGACTGTATTGGAAGATATTTATCCATTCCATGATGTATATATATCAAAAATTGAAAAATGTGTTTGCCTTTTCTGGTATATTCATATTTCTCATAAATTGCATGATTGATATCTGGCATGCTACTTAAAAGTTGTTTTGATGAAATTACTTTCTATTGAGTTCATGTTCAATAAAACTATTGTTTTTACATGAACACTTTTTGTATATTCACTAATTACAAAAATATTAAAGTTATATGTATAAAAAACATTAAAAAAAAAATACCTACATATTTTTATGGCTTCTTTTTTTGTGTAAGACTCATATAGGTTGAACTTTGTAAATACAGCTGTTTTGCAAACCAAGCCTCTTTTGGGGAGATGTATAATATTTTAATAGATATTTTGTTTTGTTTACCTGCTGATTCCAAGATATGATCACTATGTTATATCTCTTGGAATTGTTACCAGTATAAAATAGAATTCTGAGGAAGGGTAGGTGTAGTACAGAATTTTAATAGAAGTTTTAACTCTAAGAAGTTCCGGGCATATAAATGTTGGAAATATGCCGCACAGCTCTAAATTTTGACCTTTGAAAAAAATAGTAGAGCAAATGAACTTTCCATTCTAGGATATAATTTTTACTAATTTTCATAGTAAAAGTAGTACAATGTTAGCTGTAAAAAGAGATCCTGTGGGAAATTGCATTGTCTATCTTTACAGAAGTGCAACCTATATTAATTAGGTATTAAGTTTATTTTTTCTTACTTGCAAAAGACAGAAGAAACAGATGAAACATCAGCATCAGAGACTGATACAGAAGAAAAAGAATACTCTGTAGAAAAGGTTGTTGATTCCAGGAACAAAAATGGCCAAGTAGAATATTTACTGAAATGGGAGGGATACCCAGAGTATGTATAATTACACAATTAATTTTCACATTATGTTACTCAGCTGGGGACTTGTTTCAAAATTATTTAGTCAATGTGATTTTTATCTTGACAAGTGGGTGTCTTTTAGATTTTCAATTTTATATGAATTTGGTTAAATATACTTACCATGAAATTACATTTATATTATATAGAATATGTTTGCTTTCACAACATGTTCTCATCGCAATTAACTAGGTGATTAAAAATTACATCCATAAGATGTACTCACCTACGTCATAATTTACCTGTGAAAGATACGGTAAGTTTAGTTTTAATTTTTGCGTTCAGGTGAACGCATGTTTCTCGTCGACAAGGATTTTTAAATCCTTATGTTTTATAAAAGACATTATTTGTTTTCGGTATATCGTTTTACGATTAATTTAATGTGAATACAGCACTTCTGTCAAGTTTCTGATATACATGTTTCATCAATTTTACAGCTTACGAGTCTGGAACAACGACGACCTAGAAAATGACCTTTGTTTAGCCGCCATTTTCAAACATTAAGTCCGGTCCGAGGAAAGGCAGAATTTTTCTGTCAAAATCAGACATGTTACGTGAGTGCTCCGTTTTTTAGAATAAACGGATGTTTTAATACTTCTTCCACGCTGACGGAATTTTTAGCTGTTTAGAGCAATCTACGAAACGGGTCAAGTGGAAAGGATAAGTTGATTGTTTACAATTTTACAGTCTGTACACGAGACTGTGTAAACACATCACTATATTAAAATCAGAATAGGTGTTTTGGCCAGATCTGATTATTTTAATGTGGATAACGTCCTTATGGGAGCGTAGACCACTATTTTAATGTGGATAACGTCCTTATGGGAGCGTAGACCACTTGTCACTAGAACCTCAATTGGTTCAATAAATTTCAATCAGAAAAGGGAATTTGCCCATATCCGATTGTTATTTTATTTGGATAATGTTCCATACAGGGAGCGTAGACCAACATTGATACTCACATTGACTGTTTAAAGTTGATAAATAAATATAAAATAAATCACAATCAGAATAGGGAATTTGCCCACAACTGATTATGTTTATTTGGTTAACCTTCCATTCAGGGAACATAGACCATATTTATTGAAAATAAAACGTGCTTAGTGAATCACAAATAAAATTAAAATTAGAATAGGGATTTTGCAAAAGTCTATCTGATTAATGTTGACATCATTTCATCCAGGAAACATAGGAACTAGAACAACATGCATGATTTTGGATCTGTAAGTTGCATGCATTCTACTACAATACAGATTTGATATCTTACATAAAAATCATAACTATTAATTGATTGCACATTGATATTTATGGAGCATAGACCATTGTTGTAAATAAAAACTTCATTTTTTGACGTACTGAAATAAAATAAGTTAGAATCAGAATAGTGAATTTTAGTCCAGGTCTATCTGATTGTTGCAGTAGACATCCTTCCATTCAGGGAACGTTAGGTCTACCCTTATTATATTTAAAACAACCTGCAAGCATAGCTAATTTTTGGCTGCACATTGATTTTTGTGATGAACCAACAGTTCAGTCAATTTACATATATACTCATATTGATAATACAATGTAATATATTGAAAGAGTGTCTGGAAATGGTCAAGACAGATAAAAACACTGAAATAGTACAGTTTTATCTAGTACAATACAAATGTGTATGCAGATTAAGCATATCAATACACAAATTTTTTAATTATGTCCAGTTTTAATCAGGACAGTAAATTCTCAGAAGCCTGAAATATTTTCTCGGAGCAGGAAATTGCTGTAAATATTTTCTTTACTGATAAATTATTCTCTTACAGATGTTAAGAAAATACTAATATGTTGAGTCAGTAAGAATGGAACACCGTTCTAAAACCAGTTGATAGCTTGTGACAACTCATTTTATCAATTTTTAATTTTCATGGTCAGTTTACTACTGACAAGAAGAACATTAATATTATCAGTATGTTCTACTATGACCAATTGGTTGTTTTGTCTGCAGTAACGAAACAAAGACTTTTATATGTTTTTTAAGTAAACATTAGATTGTCTCTTGGATTAAGAGTTTAGGGGATGCCATGATGCATTTCACAAAGACTCATTCAGGGAAATGGCTTATATTTTGATTACATAATTCAGAGTGTACATTGCTAATGCATATAACATAATATGTACTTGTGCTATTTTGTGTTACAGTCCGTGTAACGTAAAAGTTAACAATACGAACGATGCCCGAATCATGTACGGACGATGCCCGAACGATGTACGTACGCTTCCCGAACGGTGTACGAATGCAAACGAAACGCTGACCGAACGTTGTACGGACGCTGAACGAATGATGTACGAACGAAACCATATACCATAAACCATACCATAAACGATAACATAAGCGCCCTTTTATCGTACATCGTATGGTTTTGCGTACATCGTTTCATTAAGCGTATACCGTATCGTTTAGCGTATTAGCGTACATCGTTTCGTTTAGCGTATATCGCATCGTTTAGCGTACATCGTTTCTTGGCGTGCATAGTTTCGTTTAGCGTATATGTTTTTTTTTAAATATAAAACATGAATGGTGTTCTGTTATATCTTTTTATATAGGTGATAAATTTAGATTGGATGCATGTTTCAGTTTTTAATTAATAATTTAATAAATTATAATTTGATCTGACTCGATGTTGATCCAAAATTATTTACATAAAAAGTTTGAAAAATAAACACTGAAATAAATTTTAACAAATTGAAAGATACGATTATGAATTTAGTTAGCCGTAGAAATGCGTACTTGGTGAATGTGCGAGTAAACTGCAGTCTGCAGGGTATCCAGTCAACAATTTTTGAAAATAGTCTAAGGTATTAACATTTTTTTTTACCTAAATGAACAATTGATTTAAGATGGAATTCGGAATTAATCTAATGTTCTTACAAAAGTATATTCGGGGTCTTAAGGTTGACCTTTTGTCCAAATGGTTTGTTAAATATTTTTTATGTATTCTCTTTTATCTCATGTATTTTAAAATCGACTGAATAGCAGTTGTATCCATATATCGTAATTAAACCATTTTTTTTTTTAGATTATAGATTTTTTTTATTCATCTATCAAATCAGTCGAAAAAAAACAAATATTCGAGAAATTTCAAATAAAAACAATTACTCGATATTTGCCTCATCAACCCTAAACATAAATCCCTACCAATGTACATACGATTGTGTATTATTTTAACTATAAATGCACTTGACTTTAAACTATCATCAACAATTGTCCGGCAAAAAAACTAGACCCTCTATTCTTTAATTTTTTTATACCATTTTCCTCTGTTCTTTATTTTTCCCGTTATACTCTATTCTAATTTTATATTTTTTTCTTTATTTTCCTGTATCTATACCTCCTTTATTCGGAGCAACCCAACCCTAAATATACATATGATACACACGGTCTATAGGTCATCGCTTGTGCCGTGATACACATGTTTGCATAACAAAGGATGTCCTTGTTCATATTTATAACATTTTAAATGTCCTCCTAATAATACATATAATAGTTGTCACTGGACATTAAACAGCTAACTCTAAATTCATCTGTCATATTCTTAGTTTTGTTATAATGTGTAAATCACACAACATGATGAACAAATCATTATTGCAGATGTTCACTGCCGAAATAATGGGAAATAATTGTAAACAAAACCACTCAATCACATCCCTACGCCACAAAGTCTAGCCTTTTCACATGTAAATTATTTTCATAAATCTATTTTAAAATAATTTTAAACAATTTTAAATCAAACGGTCATTTTTCTTATTTGCCAAAAAAAAAAAACAACACCAAACAGTTATTTTCATTTCTTATTTTAAACAGATTGATTGTTTTCAATGGTCGGTGCCTGACAGCATCTATAAAATCTATCACCATGTTCGCCGATAAGAAAGCTACATAGAACAGGAAAACAACAATGTCTTAGAAATACCTAGAAATACTTCCACGCCCTATTTTCCAATTTCTGTTGTAATGTGGTTTAATGCAAAAAAGGTAACTCCTGAATACTGATTTGTATCCATCAAGCATTTGGGGTTAATAACAAATCTATGGTAGTCTCTTTTTCTTTACTCGCAAAGTATTCGACTAAATCATGTTTTATTTATGAAAATTGCTCATTGCTGACGAATGTTAAATATTGATCCCTAGATTTTCAATTGTTTACTTGTTAGGTTACTGTCTGATCTCGCAAACCTGACATTTTATGGTAATTATTTGTTGCATCCAATTGCACCAATTTATTAAAAAGATATTAACGCGACACCGTACGAGAGTCGTTACTTTACATAAACTACTAGTATTTTTTTTTCTATAACGAAATACGAAACCACTTCTCGCAAATCGCTTTGGAGTAATTGTGCTTCTCTTATGACAAAAAATCTAAATTTCATAAATTGTTGTTGAGATTGTTTCATAAAATATTATTGAACATTTTTACTGATATTGAACTGAAATATTTTACGACAGAACATGTATATTATTTTGTAAAGTCATTGTTTATTTCTCGATTTGAGGAGAATTCGTTTGAACTTTACCTTGCAGCAATTTATCCTCAGGCGTACACAGGTGTGAATTCAAGCGTACACAGGTGTGTATGTTGTCATTTTGAATGGATTAACAGAAAGAGTATAGCGTGTTTAATACACCAAGATAAAATATCCGATGACAATAGAGAAACAATAATTAAATTGTTTAAATTAATTGAAAATAAACATTCAATCTTTGTCAATTCCGGAATTGTATACAATATTACAGTGGAACAATTTTCGATTACGTTCTATGCAATTTGCATAAAATTAAAATATGAAGTTAAATGAATAGTACTTTTAATCTGGGACTATTATACTAGTATAATAGTCCCAGTTTTAATCTTAAAAATTAAATGCTTCATTTCCCAATTAATAATAATTGCACATCTGTTTAATTTACTTTACCGGAATTCATTAACTTGTATTTA